CTTTCATGATGTTAGATTTAAAATAAACATTTTATTTTCTGAAAGAAACGAATTGTTATAAAATTTCTGTTTTTCTTTTTTATTTTCAATTAAAAATGAATTCAATTTATATTTAAGCTTAGAATTGATTATAAATCGCTTATCGATCTAATTTATGTAAATAAAAATATCTACAATTACGAATCATGAATCAATCTGATATTTGAATTTCAGGGCTCCAATGATTTGCATATCCACAAGTGAAAGAAAAAAAAAACTAGTGCCGATGGCTATGGAGACCTGTTTGAAAATCACTCTATCACTTGTTTTTGACACGTAAGTTTTTTTGAAACCCAGTGTACAGTCTGGGAATGATGGCGTCTACAAAGATTAGAGATAGTAGATAGAAGAGCATTATTTTTTCTTCTCAGAGATTAAATGTACAAATTACAATGGTATTTTTTACCATTTTTATACGTTAATTGGACACAACTGTTTTTCTAGTTTCTTTGAGTGTCGAACAAAGTTATTTATATCATTAGATAGACTATATTTCGAAGTATGGTTCTCTATACCTAAGCTTTGTAAAGGAATGATTTTCATTTTAACTAAATGTCTATCGAGATGTACACTATGCTGTCCGTTCATGTGGTTTTCACACAGCTTTAATATCATATGTTATATTTGGAAATGTTGTTCTAAAAACTTTATTTACAAATAGTCACTTTTTTTTTTTTATTAAAATCTGTAACTATTGAATCCATGAATATGTTTACTGGTTTGATCCTTTTTCACTTCGATTTTTTTATTCAGCAGTATTTGTATATGATAAAGACAGCAATATATGATTATAGTGTTTTACTAATCCTATGAAAATATTCGTCTAATGACAAATAATCTTTTTTCATATTCTTTCATTACATCAAGGATTTGTTGATTTCGAGAAAAGTTTTTTTTTTTTTTTTTCATTTCGTGAAGATATATGTGGGAGAAGTAGAGAAACTCAATATCTATATCGATATATCAGTTCTGCTAATGAAATGGGACGATACCGTATTTAAGTTGAAATTAGAGTGTTACATTGTTATAGCATAAATGTTATATTTACAAAGAGATTTTCACTATAAATCAAAACATAATGATCTATTGACATTCTGTAATGTACTTTTACTATTGCGGATATACTGAGCTATAACTTCAGAATGTCACATTTTCAAACATTGAAATTCCGTGCGAATTTATATAGTTTTACAATGAACATTTCTGGTATGATACCTTTTTTATTTAGTTACTGTCGTAAGATTAATCTATAAAGTAAACGTGATTATAGGTGTACGAAATTGATTTATTAAAGAATGAGTAATATCAAACTACGAATAAGTTGTCAAAGTTGCACCATTTGTTGATGAGCATAAAGTTTTTCTATAAAGTACGAAGCAATAATGAATGTTTTACATTAACATAACACATATTGATAAACCTCATAAACAATAGTAAAAACTGTATCTGATTATGATTTGAAATGATATCTAAATTAATTATTCAACAATGTATATTACAACTATTAAGTTAACTATAATCATTGTGTAATCTTAAAAGAAAAGAATTTTTTTGTTTTTTGTATAGTAAATTCTGATAGATAAGACTGACATATTGCTTATCGGACAAGTTGAATACTTGCATAAACATGTTCATTGTAATTCAGAGGTATTTATAAAAACACTATCAATTGATAAATTTTCATTCAAATAATTTCAATTGAAAGAATATAGACGTATAACTATTATTTAAATAATGAAATACACTGAACAAAATTTATTCATTAGAGTAAATTACAACTATTTGGTACGATTGGTATCAAAAAAATTAAAAGTAAGTCTCGACATTTTTTTAAGAATACTTGTGATACAATTTTATTTCTTCTTAATTCAATAATAAAATTAGTATTGATTTATTGAAATGATTCGAGTCATTTTTTGACATGTATATAGAAAACAGGAAATAAGAAAGAGAAACCACAGTACACTCAAATTTGTGTGTCGTATCCTGTTCATTTAAATTATATTTAACAAGAATATTGACGAATAGCTTTGATTAGAGCTGAAATTTTTATTACGTATAGTACTTTTTCTCTTACATCTATGATGAAAATTTGAATCATATCAAATATCTCATTAAAGATTTATAAAGCAGATAATTCATAAATAGTTACTCTGTAAAGTAGGTATAATGACTTGTTTTCAGGAAGTTCTATTATCTTGTATCTGTAACAAAGCTTGTAAGAATGATTTTATTTCTTTTCATCAATTTGTTACTGAAATAGTTCTCTGTCTTTTTATATAGTCAGCACACCGCTATCTATCTCTATTACAGACAGAACTAGTATCAAGTTTGTATCATTCTACATAAAAACATAAAAGTGTCTATCAAACATTGTGATGTAGACGGCGAACGAAAGAAACGGAAAAGAAATGAAATTTAACTCAGTTATGTATTTTGATAGAGAGTCGAACGTTCTATAGAATAGACTAATTACATCCTTTTTCTTTTTTCTTTTGATACTTGAAAAATTTCCTTTTCTATTCCTATGTCGGCAAAAAAAAAATTGACATTTTTGTTTGTATTGTAACTTGCTTGAATAAGGTAGTCAAACTATGACATATATGAATACAACTGACAAGATAATTGTAACTCATAGCAGTACCACATGCTGAATACCAATCGCAGTATATATGCAGAAAAAAAAAGATCAGGATCTCATTAGGATCCGTGATTATACTACTGTTGTTTTCTTTTACTTCGTCTTACATTCGTGATAGAAATTTTTAATACGTGAGATATGTTTCGGTATGATAACATTTATTTTTGTCAATTGAATTTTTAAGATAGATTTATACAATGATAGTGTATTGTTCATAGTAGAGAATAGTACGATTGAATTAATAAAAGATATTGAAATATTTGTTTTTTTTTCTTTTCGATTAATAGAAAGGTTTCAGTTCATTGCTCGTAGGTTAACGGAAAGTGGATGCAAACGAAAACGAAAATTTAACTATAAATGATTCGTTTATAGTTAAATTTTATACGTATTTTTCGATGAAATTTGATGAATAATACTTTGTAAATAAGATTATCAAATCTGTCAGTAGTATGTAAGCAATGTAAAGCAATACAGATTTATCATAGCTGCATCTAAAGATAGAAATAACTAAAATATCTGCAACCGTCATAATAAACTACTCTGAGTAAAATCTGTCTCTGTTTTTCTGAAATGGATTATAGTCATGAAAATACAATATCTTTGCATAAAAAAAAAACTAAGAGTTTTAACTCTTCTCAGAATATGCATAGTTCATTGATGTGTAAGAATAAATAAGATTAAAAAAGTATACTGTCATTTGTTTTTTTTTTAATTTAATAAAGGTAAGATTTTAATAAGCATTACAATAAAATTAGATTATTAAGAGTAACATTATATAATTCTATCAAATGACATATATAAGCTAATAATGTTCTGAAAGATAATATTTATAGCTTGAAGCAAATTTTTTACTTAGAATACTATTTCTTCATTATATATATAACATTAACTAGAAATTGAAAATATGTTGTGACAACAAGTATATAAATCATCATTTGTTCACAAAATATTATATTATTTAATAATGCAAGAAATTCCCTTTTGTTAAAGAACAAAAAAAAAAAGACCAGAAGAAAATTTATAATTGTAAATTTGTCTCATATCAATAAGTATTATTATGTTAGATTAATCTTATGATGCAGAAGAATAATTTTTTTTTTTTTTCTTCATCAAATATTCTCTTGTATAAAATAATGTCATATTAAGTTTGGATCACTGATTTTGTCGATAGTTTTTTGTGTCATTGAGTAGCTTGTTAGAACAAAAAAAAAAAAAAAGATGTCAGTTCATTTGTTTTTATTAATATAAACACAAGTTGTAAATGAATGAAAGATCTATTAGATTTAGAATGTAAACATGTCAATGAAAACTATAAGTTACATTTATAAATAATAATAATAATAGTAATATTGATGAAATTAATACCAGCGAATGAGAATTAACATGAGAATTAGATATACTTATAAAATTCAGTTTTTTTTTTTTTTTTGCAAAGAACTATTTGTCTATTATCATTTACATTGATTTGATGCGACAATTGAAAATAATTGCATTTCAGTTGTGTTCATTAGTCTTCTTTTTTCTTCTTTCGTTCTTTTTATTATTCGATAGTCTTTATCAACGAAGCTTGCGCGAGAGAGCGAGAGAGATATAGGATTGTTCGCCATAGGACATACTTCATGTGCATTTATGTTCTTCTACCATCACCCATATTCCCAAAAGGACAAGCCAACTCAATAAAGGAGAAAGAATATATAGAAGAAAAAAAAAAAACATGATTGTTCGAGAGGACCGATAGCACATTGTCCTTGTTGCATTCTATTAATTCTACTACTGTCTGCATGATAAAATCAAGAATAGAAAAACACTACGACTATTATCTGTCTAACATAATCTATTGATTATCATTATTATTAAAATTTAATTCAGCTATTATTACACATTATTCTAATGCGAATATATTCTTTTTTTGTTCCATGCTCAACATTGAATTGCAATGTCACATTTATGATGATACATTAAATAGGTGAAAAAAAGAAACATACAGTCTTACCATACATCATAATCACTCTTGCGTAGAATAGCAAGCGATAGTGAATAATTTTACGTACCTGTATACAAAAAAAAAATCCTACAGAATATGAACACATTCGACGATAAGATACATATGCAGTATGAGTAAGTAATGAAAATAGACGAATATTTTTCTTGAATATGACTTGTGTTATCAGTGCGAAGTTGCGTTTTTTTTTTTTTTTTTTCTTATATTCTTTTTCTTTTCATTAATGGCAAACGTTAATATTTAGGAGTCGAATGGCGACAGCGAAATATTAAAAAAAAAACATATTTATATGATATTTTTTTTTTCTACAACAACGAAATGTTTTTTCGTTCATCTCGTCTACGTCTTATAATTATACGAACTTGTATTATTGCATTGATTATAGTATTATTTTTACAATTTTCAACATTATTTAATAATGAGAATATTCCACTAAGTAAATCTGATAAATTATTAACATTCGAAGAATTATTTTGGAAAAAATTATTTGATGAAGATAAAATTTTAACTGATGAACAACGTATTCAACATATTAAATTAATTGATGAACATATAAAAAAAAAAGATTTTAATTGGACAAAAATATTTTTTGATAATTATAAAAGAAAATTATTAAAAATTAATGAAAGAGATATTAAAACTTCTTATAAATATCGATTTAAAAATAATGAACAAATTATTTCACAAGAAAAATTTGAAATATTTGAAGAAACTCTAGTAAGTTATTTTTATATAAATTAAATTTAAGAAAAAAAAATCAATTTTTAATATCAGAATTAAAAATACATAAATTCATAGTGCAATATTTTTCAAAACAAAAAAACAGTATCTAATATCCGTAAGAAAAGTTTCAGCATCTTTTAGAATTATTATTATTAGGAAAATTTCATACAGAAAGAATCATTGCAATCAGAATTTTTCTGCTACGAGTTAATTATGAGATTTTAAAAGCAAAAAAAAAAAACTTTTGATAGACTAAGCAGATATATGACTTTTTTGACTTATAAAGATCTAATTTTCTACTTAATCTGTCCTGAGCTATCAGTTCAAAGGTAGAAGTACTTTATGAGACGAATAAAAATTGTTTTAGAATGCGAAAAATTCTTTATTTTATTAAGGTATTTGGTCGTCCAAAATTTTGTTCATCAAAAAATATATTTCATCGTCAATGTCCATATTCAAATTGTCAATGGAATTGTAATAAACCATCGATTAATAATAAAAATATTCGTCGTGCAAATATATTTCATCATATTGATATAAAACAAGATGAAATACGTAATAAACTTCAATATCGTTCATATAATGATATATGGATATTATGGATTGATGAAGCAAATCGTCAAATTGAAGTATTAAATTCATATCAATTTAATTGGACATTAAGTTTTCGACAAGATTCTGAAATTTCAATAGGTACATATGGAATATTAATTGAAAAAGAAGAAAATCAAACATTATTAAATAATAATCTATATAATAATTCAGAATTATTTGAAATATTAAATATTCATCATATTGAAATAATTAATATAGCATTAGAAAATCGTATTTTTATAAATTATCGTTATCGTCATAAATATGCTCTTTGGTTTGTTTCAAATTGTCAACCTCAATATCGTCTTAAATATTATAAAGAATTAAAAAATTTTTATTCAATTAATGCATATGGTTTATGTGTTGAAAAAAAATGTGATAAAAATAATAATTGTGAACAAGAACAATCTCATTTAGCACTTTTTTATTTAGCATTTGAATCTCAAACATGTACAGATTATATAACAGAAAAATTTTGGCGTGCACTTTATTATGGAATGATACCAATTGTTTTAGGACCATCAAAACAATCTTATTTAGATTTAGGTGTACCAGAAACAGCATTTATACATGTTGATGATTATCAATCAGTTCATGAACTTGCAAATCATTTACATCAAATAGCTAATGATTATATTATGTATAGAAAATATTTTCAATGGTTAAATCAATATGAAATATTTTATGATATAAATGTTCTTGAACCAATTCGTATGTGTGAATTATGTATGAGACTTAATATGCAAAAATTTCAAGATCATAGTTATTATACTAATGTTCATGAATGGCATCGAAATGCATGTTAAACATAAAATTTGTTGTTATTTGTTTTTGTTTTTTTTTATATATTTATTTGTTTTGAAAAGAAAAAGAAAATAATCGATGAGATACATCTATCAAAAAAAAAAAAAGAATAATAATAATCGCAATTTGAACTACTTCTTCATTGCATTTCTGGAGAGTAACTACATCATGTTTCATATGATAACTTTAATATTTCTTATTTTATTCATATAATGGCTTTGTTTAGTTCAAAAAAATTATCAATCTGGAATAGAACTTTGTTATAGGACGAATATAGACTTGTTGATTATTGAAAATCATCTATTATTAAAAAAACCATTAATAATTAGATTCGATGTACTGATTTACATATTTATTTGTATTACTTTTTAGTGTAAGCAGTCAGCAGAAGAAGTTTTCTCACTTCATTGGATAATCACTTGGTTTATAAGAGTTCTGATTTCAGTGCTAATGATGATGGATAATTTTCTTAGTCAATATTAGATTTGGTTTATTATTTTTCAGTTCATACCATAGTTTAATGTCTATTCTCTTGAAATTTGATTAAAAAAAATTTCTTTATCCTAAATATACCTATGATTAATTTCTCTGTCAAAGTTTTATACGTAGACGAATATAAAACACATGCCTTTAATATGGATGTAAGTGTGAGATCGAATCTGAATGTAGCCTATCCGCACTGTCAGAAACCAGGAAGAAAGATAATTTCATATTTTAAAATAAATAGGATTCTCTGTATATTAGCTTACCCGAGTTAGTGGTCAAGAATCTAATTCTTTCATACACTTCTTTACTGCAGTTGTCTGAAACACACCAATCACATGATTTCAATATTATTATTTTTTTTTTTATGAATATTCGTTGTACAATAGATCTGCTGCCTTCTCTGCTAAAGCGTATACGGTCAAGCAAGGTCCCATTTTTGATGCAAGACCAGCAGGAAAAACGGATGCATCCACAATTCTAAGATTGTTTATTCCATGAACTTTAAATTGATTATTAACCACAGAATCTTGAGCATTTTGTCCCATGCTACATGTACCAACGAAATGGGGAGCCGGAACTAATGTGTCCTTAATATACTTTGCCAAGTTCATGTTTTCAATTCCTGGTGAGATCTCGACGATAGGACCAAATTTTTTCAATGCATCGGTAGCTATGATTTTTCTCACATAGTGAATACTATCGATAAATGTTTGCAGATCTTCTTTATGTTCTAAATAGTTCAACGTTATTTCTGGTGGTGCTAGTGGACTAGTATTGTGCAATGAAATCGAGCCTGTTGTCGATTTTGGCAAAGCATTAAGTATTAAAACAGTGAGACGTTTTGTTTTTTCATTCATTTTTAAGATAAAAAACATGTTTGCATTAGTATTTGTTGTGCGCAATTGAAGATTAACTAAACCAACAGGTTTTGATTTATAGATAGGAAGATTTTCTGCATTATAGTGAACAAATATTAGACCATTGTCCATCAAATTCTTGCCTACTTGCTTTAATTCATGTTTTACTGGTAGTTGATGCTGTCGAAGAATATTAGGATCACCAATACCCGATAACATGAGAAGATGAGGACTGAAAAATGTACCAGCAGACAAAATATACTCTTTTCTAGCAATACCACAAAAGAATCCATCTGATGATACAAATAAAACATTTTCTATTCGCTTTGTTATTTCATTCACATTGAACTTAGTTACAACAGTGTTTATCATAACTTTTAGATTTGGATATTTAATCATGGCAGGTATCAAATAGTCCTTACCGCTCCAACTTCTCAATCCATTGGTGAATGAAGAAGCTTCAAATGACAAGCCATAATCCAGTATGTCTGCAAAATCATCACTAAATACTTCATTGAGTTCATCAGCCACATTTTTCCATACATTATTGAATATAGCATCATAACCTTGAGTTATTTTTATTGAACCATTGTTACCATGAATATTTGTAGTTCGTGATAATCTGGTTGGCGTAAAATTTTCAACCATTTTGTAATATCTAGACATATTGTCATAGTGAAAGCTTGAATCACCTGTTACATTGACAAATGTATTCCAATCGTTTGCCGTCATCCGCACCATTCCACCACTGTTAAGACCACCTCCTCCAAGCGTGTTCCATACTGTGAGACCCACAGTTCGATTATTGAGATTTGGTGACGATTTCGAAGGTAGATAATGTTTAAAAAGCAAAGTACGTTGTAAGCGATCGAACTCGACTTCTTGATTCATCAAGGAGTTTGATGTGTCATTTGAGCCACTGGATATTAGAAGAGTTTCAAAACCATGTTCAGCTAATCGAGTAGCTAAGACGCATCCAGCTGCACCTCCACCAACAATGATAAAATCAACCACGATTTCTTTCACCATAGAAGATGTTATAGTTTTTCTTGTGTTTTCTAAATAATGCAGTAATACTCTCTTAATAATATTTCTACTCAATATAGGCAATATAATTCAAAAATTAGTTCATAGGCAATAGAACTTAGACTGCATGAATGAATCTCAATAGAATTAGTCTACACCATATATTGAAACTGAGTCGAGTTTGGCTTCAGAATCTCTACTTTTCTAAAAGTCTTCAATTGCTCTTTCGACAGTCCCTCGACATTTGGGGTTACTATCATTTATTGAATCAGTACAATACGATATTAACTCATGGCTGTGTATTAGTCTAAAAAAAGTAATACTATGAATAAACGATCCTAAAGTGATGATGGTGAATAGGTCACAATTATTGATTTTTCATTGTTGTCAATGCATCATAGTCTACTTAAAGATTAATTAAACTGTAATGAATTAGCCGATCACGGACACGAAATAGAATCATTCTTTTTCTTGCCATCATCATACATCATCATTGATCACGCACATTTTGTTACTCAGAGACGCTCAAATCTCGATCTTTAAACAGTCAACAATTTGTTTTGTTTTGCGTTCTATGAAGATTGCTAAACGACGAATCTAGCTTCGAGTTTTTTTTTCACTTGTGTCTCATTCTTGTGTACTTTGTTATTTTTGTAACTTATTGTTGTTTTTGAATAAACTATAGTTTGAATATTCTTTGTTTAAGTCGATATTCGATGAGTCGAGTCAAGTGGAATATTTTTTGACTCATTTCAGTCTATGATTTAAAATATCTTTAAATTAGAACCACAAAAAAATCCTCAGAAATGTATGATCTTGATTCTAAGAGGATTCTTTTTTGTCAGCTCTAAGTGTTTGACAAATAGAATTTCATTAATGTGGAGAATACAAAACAATGAAGCAGAACGGTCGATTGAAAGACTACATCTATTCTTCTCTGAAGACTTATAGAGGAACAATCTTTTTGGCTCGTGTTTTATTCTTGTCCGATTGCCATTTGTTCTACAATATTTTCTGCCAATTTCTCAATAGAGGTATAATGTCGCCTCCGGCATTAAAAATATACACAGAGTAGATTGATTTTTTTTATTAATGTTCTAGTGGTCAATGACAATAATAATTGGCTAGATGTTAACAGTGTGTCTGTTCATGAGTTTCGTATTTTCTGACTACAAGTTTTATCAAACTCGACTTAGTTTTGTTTGTTTTTTTTTTTGTTATAAAGCTTTTATTTTCAATAACAATGTTTGTAAAACAATAGAAACTATTATAACACAAGTGTTTACTAATACTAGAAATACCAATAAGAGATATGTAAAAGATCAAAACCATCATAGCGCATACGCAAACGAAATCTAGACGTATGATTTGCATGATAAGCATTGGATACGCATGGACTTCGGCAAACATCTTACCAGTGATGTCGTCCGGGTGTGGTATAGACTTTTTCTCTATCTTGTACATATCGGTAGCCAACAAAAATATAAAACATATGACAAAACTAAATATTAGAATATGTTCAATAAATCCATGACGCAGAGATAAATCATACCTACCGAAATACTGTCATCATCATAAATATTGTTTTATACAGGAACTGATGTCTTCAATATTGTGCAGAATTACATTATATTTGATCATGACTGTTATTTATTGTTGAATGTCGAAAAGATTAACTAAGACTAACACAGTATCATTGCTATTTACCGATTTTGCTTTGTGACAAGCAATCATCGTTTCATCCTACATAAGCTTACGATTATCTCTTTGTTTTATATATTATCTTCGTAGTTTAGAAATACATTTTGCTAGACTATATTCTTTTAGTCTTTCAATTCAAATACAATAGTATATAAATACATTAGCAGTCATGACAATATCATGTTTTGTATACTAAAAGACGTTAGCATAGTAATGTGGGTGTAGGTACTGTTGCTAATTGACGCTTCGCCCACATCCTCTACGAGAATGAAAGTTATTTTAGATATTACTTCTAATGCTTGTTTTTATAAAGGTTTTGAATAATTATACTTCGAAAAGTCACTTCTGTATAAAACTCATATCTATAATAGATTAAATATGTAAAGACAAATCGAATTTATGATGTTGTAAATGAAATTTGTTTGTACATTAACTTTAAACTTCTGAAACTCATATGAAGTGTCTTGCGAAGCCTCTTCTACAAATGAAGCGATCCTATATTATTGCTAGAGAAATAAACTGATATTAAAATATTGACATGATCTTTCATGTAATTGATATATTAATTTAGCAAGTAATTGAAACCTTGCTATTATCGATTTATTTTTGAAAATAAAATAGTAAATATTAATCTTTTGTCCATATATCGATTAGATTTGAAAATTTGTTGTTGTCGAATTTCTCGTCCTAATTATTTTCTTTTTTTGTTTTTCACAATTCTTCAACAACAAAAAAAAATGCATATTATGGAAGAATTCTATGTATTCAAGGATATCATTATCATTGTTAGTCTTCTTTCATTTCTCTTGATTTTATTTTATCGAACAAGAAAATGACTCTTGTATATTATCAAGTTACATCATTTATTCATTTATATAATAAAAATTGCAAATATTTATTTGAATTTATTACAAATGTAAGACCAAAGCAAAAAACAAAAAGCTGAAAGTCAACTGATGTATATATTCAATAAAACAATGGAAACAGACTAATTAGATTGCAAATATATTAAAATCGACTTTTAAATTTTAATTTCATATTCTATTTAATCTTATAAAACGAGATTACGTTTTGCACCAAGTTGATAACTACTGTTTCTGAACAAAAAAGCGAATGGCATTAGAACTGATCGAAAAAAATGTAGAAGAACAGCAAAAACTCGATACAACTTGAAAGATATCTGATAATTTGAGAATTTATTATAAATAATTCATCATTTCCTCTTTCTAAAGGTCAAGGCTACGGTTCTCTATCATTGGTTCTATTACAAGTCATTCAACATGCTTAAAAATATTCTTGTTATATATCATAACAAACAATTATTATTAAAAAAAAAAAACTTTATATACGGCATTGAAGTGTCTTTGTCCTTACTATTCATGTGTCCTAAGTAGAAACCTAAATTTTCACTAGAAATACGTTTTTAAGGAAAATTTCTAAAACAATACATATTTTGAAATAAAGAAAAATGTTAACTTTTTTTTTTCATAATGGTATTAAGAAAAAAATAAATCCATGTCGATGTCATGCAAGATGTATTTAAAAACGAAAAAGAGTTTCATTTTTTTCTCTTGTTGCTATTGTTTATTCTAAATTTCATTTTAAATACATTGACGACGAGAAAAGATTGACATTATATGCTATACCATCAATAAATAAAGTGTCAATTTACAAAAAAAAAAAAAAAAAAAAGAAAAGAAAACGTGTTCTTATATGAACCGTTTTCTACTTTCTCTTTAATGCTTTCGCTGCTGTTGTTATTAGAATTCATCTTCAATTAACTGAGAAGAACCTATAGAAATCAAAGAAAATGTAATGGTGGTAAGAGTGACTTTGTCATCAAACCAATCCATAACAACCACTATCATTGGCAACCAACATGTGTACATAAATTTTCATATTCGTTTTTTTTCTTCTTCTATGTATTTTGTCTATTCTTTATAATAAAATAGTTACAACATCGTTTTCATTTTTTTTTGTTGTTGTTTCACATAAAAGTGTACGACAATGTCATCTGTAATCTTTCAACCGTTATTACATGATCCATTAGGATGGAAACCATCGAATTCAACATATACAGATCATTATAAATGGAGAAAATATCGGTCAACAAGTAAAGATAAAAAAGTATCAACATATGGTCAAAAATATCAAAGACAATTACAAAAACAACAAAAACAAACAAATCAAGAAGAACAAACAAATAATTCTGTTATTTTAGTTAAAAAAACTGAAGATAATCAAGAACGACCTAATTCAAATCGATCTACATCAACAAAAACACCAACTATTATTGTTGAATACAAACAACGTCCAACTACAGCTAATGAGGTTTGATTTTTTTTTCATTTTTACAAAAAAAAAAAATATTTTTACAATCATATTGTTTTGTTTTTCGAGGACACTAATTGCCAATCAAAAGTATCACAACGTTCACAATCTGCACTTCCTAATATTGAAGGTAAATAAAGATGTTTTTTTTTTTTTTTTATTTCTTTTAACTTATGACAGCAACAAAAAACAAAACATTTATTTTCATAGAAAGGACTCGTCCATTAACAGCACCTGAAACACGTCACATATCAAAAGAAGAAAAAGAAAAACCACCAATTGACCCTAATAATGATAACAGTCGACATTGGCTTACTTATCCAAATCCTAAAACACCTGATTATATAATTGATATAAAAAAACGTTTAGGACAATTAAAAATATCTTCAACTCTTGCTCGACCATTATCAGCATCGAATGTATCAAGTGAACAACAACAACAACAACAACAACAGCAAACACCTCAACCAATTATTCGACCAACATCTGCTTCAACACAAATTCAACATAAACAACAAACAAATGATGATCAACATCATTTTCTTACATTTCGTCTATCTGAAACACCCGATGATTTACGTGCTAGACGTTATCGTATTGATAAACATCGATATAATCCATCAATAGATAATTATCCACCACGTCCAAAAACATGTCCTGTACGTGTTCATGATACACCTAAACCTATAACACCAAAAGAATTTGAAAATGAACAAATACAACAACCAAAAAATGATGTATGGATTGTTGAAGAAGACAAAACATCAAATGCACCAAATGTTGAATCGTCATCAATTCTTATACAAATGGTTGATTGTGATGGTTTACCTAATGAATATGTTGAAGCACTCGAAACAGCAAATGCTGCACAAGAAGAATATTTAAGAAATTTAAAAATGAATGTTGAAAGAAGACCTGAAAATCCCGTTTATCGTCTATCAGCTATGTCACCAGAGAATAAAAATGATGCCTTGGTAAGTAAATAATCATTAATGAAAAAAAAAAAATGTTCATATAGGGATTCTTTTCTATATCTATATAAAAAAAAATAAAAAAGGTTACTTATTCAAATCAACAGCAATCAACAACAATGAATAATCAATTGCGTCAATTAGCACGAACATCACAAAATGATTTTGGTGTTTGGGTTCGAAATGCAACTGATAAAGGTTAGATATATATATATATATATATATACATTTTATTTTGTAAAATTTTCAATTTCTTAGAACGAGCATCAGCTATGAAAATTTTACAAGATGTTCTTAATCAACCAATTATAGGTTATGAAAATCAAACAAAACAAAAATCGGTATTTAAACAACCTCCAGCACCACCACCTGTTCGTACAGCATCAGCAACACGAAAATTAGGTCGTACACGTACTCAACATCAATTTCCATGTGAAATATGTGAAAAACTTCTTATTAAACGTCATGTATGGGATTTAAGTGGGTAAGAAAATTTTTCTTAAATCAAAAAAAAAAAGTACTTTAAAAATTTTGTTAAAATTAAATATTAAACAGGTCAGAAACCGTAACTTGTCCTCATCATCCTCAGAGTATTCAAGTTCGAGCATAATATTAGTAGGTTAGAGCATGCATCTCACTTGTGTTTTTCTTTTTTTGTGTATATTCACATGTAGTTTTCTTTTGTTTTTTTAATGATATTTTAATTTATTTTAATATTGTTTTATTCTAGCCTTGATTGTCCACATTCAATAATTATCAAATGAAAAACAACAAAATATATGAACACATAATTCTCTTCGTTTGCTTCTTCATTTTTTTTGTTCCTTTTTTTTTTTTTTTTCTTTTTAATCACTTATTTTTTGTAAAAATAAGAAAGAAATTATAAATATTTTTAAAGACAATATGTCATAATGAAAGATTTTTGATGAAGAATTTAAAAATTTTCGAGAATATTTTTTTGTTGTTCGAAAAATTAAATCACGTAATTGATGACGTCGAATTTCATTACATTGAATAAGTATACCATGTCTTTGATTTATTGAAAATTGTCGAATTTTATGTTCATTACTTGTTAAAATATTTAATATTAATTTATCACGATGATGATGATGATGATGATGAATAGATTTTCGATTTTTTTTTGATGTTAAAAAAATATGTTTTGTTATCATTGTTGATGATATTTTAGTTGTTGTAGAAATTGATGTTGCTTGTGAAGTGATAGTTTGATTTATTATATTATAAATTTTAGGTTTAATAGTATATATTATAGATTTATGTGTTGAATATAAGGGTATAGCATTTAATTTTTTAATAAGCTGAAAAAAAACAAATATTTAAAGATTAATTTATTGATTTTTTTTTTTTGTTTTTTAATCATATAACTAACTTGTTCAAATGAAAAAATAGGTGTTAATTGAGATGAAGTCATAGGTAATACTTTGAATGGTTGTGTTATGATATTCATATGAATAGATTTATCTGGATTTATTAATGAATATGTTTTTGCTAGTATCGATTGTGTTTGTGAAAATAATTTCGTATATTTTTTTGTACTCATACTTATTCTGGATATACCAAATGATGTGATTGAAACACATTTCACCTAGACATTTTCATAAATCTAATATGGAAAAAAAATAAAATATCAATACTTACTAAACTTGATATTTCACATTCTTTTAATCGTACATCAAATTCCGTTCCAGCTGGACAAGCACGTTTTACAGCTCGCATATATTTTGTACCAACATATATGCAATGCCAATAATATCGACAATCATTTGTATTATATATAGGATGAAATGAATCATCTTCATAACCTGTACAATCAAATGTATCTTGACTATAAATTTGAATAAATAATATTTTTATAAAAATTACAATGGACAGCCATGATGCTGTCATTTTATAAATAAAAATGTTGTCTAGAACAACATCAATTGATTACAATGATCAATAATTGATCAAATAGTTTGTCTGTCTATGTGTACTTATACAAGTTAAACAAAGAATAGGTTTAATTTACTCTAATTGTATATGTCACATCAATCATCAATTCTTAAAGCTTTTTGAATAAAATTCTATTGATCAAGTTTCGAAAAAGAAGAAAAAGTTTCTATTGACAATGTACAGTTCATAGGTTTTCTTTTTTTTTTTTTTTGCTTAAACAACAAAACGTTCAAAACTTTGATAGACATTCGGTGCAATACTCGATGAAAATTTATGTTCAATATCTTCATAAATACGTCCATTAGAAATATTATCTGATTTATAAGTATCAAGATGTGCCATTATACTATCCAATATAGATTGTCGAGCATGTTTATATCTTTTATTATGATGATTTAATGATGATGATGATGATGATGTAGCTTGTGTAAATGAATGATTACTAGCTGTTGATAAAGTTTCATCTACATAATCAATTGTAATTTTTGGGATTATTTTAGATTTATTGATATTTTTTGGACAAGCTGTTGGTGCACTTGTTACATGTTGACGTTTCGTTGGTCTAAATTAGAAATTAAAATGAATTATTTTATAGGGAGATAAAAAAGAAAAGAATTTTTTTTTTCTACTACTTACATTGGAGGTAATTTTGTTTTTATAGTACATTTTGATCGTGGTTCTGTTATTGTTGGAATATTATTTGATATAATATTCAATGCAATAGTTCGATTTGTTTTTAATGGTGAATGATTTGATTGTTTTTTATAATTATTTGTTAATAATTCTTGAGATTGAAGTTTTCTTCGTTCTCGTCTATAATTAATAAATTCTGTATGTAATCGTTGTTCAGATAAATGATTATCTGATGATTGATTTTGATTTAATTTTTCATGAACATATTGAGCTTGTTTTTCTTTACGAAATCGATTATAAGCTACTAAATCTTTTAATCGTAATTCATAAAGTTTACAATATGATCCATCGACTGTTAATGATGGATATTGATTGATATTATTATTTAAAATATCAATCATAGAAATCATATTCACTTTCGTGTTGTTTTCTTTCGATATCCAAAAAAAAGAAAATAATAGTAAGTGTAAAGTTAAATCGATTTCGATTAATAAAAGCACATTTTTTTTTTCTCTATATTGATTTAATATTCCTAATGTTTGATGCTCTTAATGATGACTAACAAGTAACAGTAGATAGATGCTACTAAAGAAATGAAAGTTGTCGATTTTATGAAGCCATTCAGGTGTTAACAATTTAACTAGAGAATAATAATTATAGAGAAAAAAAAAACGAAGGTGAGATGAAGAAGAAAAGAAAACATTTTAAAACGATGTTTTCTTTTGTAAGATGATGTTATAATAAAAAAAAAAAAAGACAAATAACTTATCGTTGATTGACTATTATGTATGTTTGTATTGATTTGTTTTTTTGAAAAATTGTATCGAAAAAAAAAATTCGTTTTTTTTTTTTTTCTTTTTGAAAAATCTATAATCGATTAACAAAAGAAAAAAAAAACCTCGATTATTGAATTACCAGATTTATAAATGTATGTAAAGATTTTATTGACATTGACATTACTTTTTTCTATGAAAATTTTTACAAAGGTTACTATAATAGATAGATAATATTATGTTTAAATATGATCAACAAGTCTTGTTATGGAAATTATTCTTTGAAATTTTCTTTTTTTTTTTTTTTGTGAGTGTAAAATTTAATATATAATGAAATAGATTTTTAGTAATTATGCATTTTTCTTTTTCTAAGTTGATTATACGACTTCTGATAAGAAGAAAATGTTATAGAGTATAATAAAAATTATTTTTAGTATTTTGTCATTGACTGACTATAAAATATTATTAACCTTTCAATGAAAACCTTGACATACGTTTTTATTTATTAGAATTTACCAGATGGTAGTAATATCAATTTTTTCTCGTATAATAAGAAACAAGATTTTCGTAATGCATATTTTCTTGTACAAAACACTGAAAGTTCAAAGAGTATTTTTGAAAGTTTTCAATAGTACGTTTTTGTAGAAGACTCTTCAAGATTTCTAAATTTTAAAATACAGTTTGTTCTGAGTATGCTTTAGTTTTTTTTTTGAAAAATCATGGTTAGTAAATGTAAGCAATGACAGCGAGTACAAATCGAGAAATAAAAATGTCTCCTCGAATTGAATGAGAAGTTCAAAAACCAATTCCTTTTTTTGGCGAAGGACTCGGAAATCATACGAAAAAAAAAAGAAACATTTCGTTGTAGGACATGAACGAATCTCTGAACAATCAATATCGATGAGACAATTATCTACACTGAAAGAACGAATATGTTTATGTACATTCATAAGAATTGATTTGAAAATTATTTATTGACTTTAGCATGCATAACAATAGATAAAAGGACAATCGATTTGTATTTGTTTTTATTCTTAAGAGTAAAGTCTATGAAAGAAATATCAGAACTTTTGATCTTTTTCTTTTTTTTTCTTTCAATGTATTAATATATTAGAAATAAATTTTTGAAGATATTTATTAAAAATAGAAAAGTTTATTTCAATGATAATTATTATTTTCATATGATTAAAAAGTCCGAAAATCACACCACAAACTTCATCGATGATTTATTTTACGAAATCGTTTTATGAACGAATGAAATCGCCTATATAATTTATTCTAGTGATGCAAGTTCAATAAGATAAAAAACTTCAATTCTTTGAATTCAAAACATGGTTAAAATCTAAATAATTATATATATTTTATAATAATCTCAAAAATATTATTTAGATCGTAAAAATCGTATTCTATTTCATTAATAAACATAGATTAATCAGATTATATACGAATATATTGATATTCGATTACAAGATTTTATATTTTGTCTTGATTATCTATGAAGTTTATCAATATACTAATATTATTTTAGTCAAATTGATATTACAACAAAATATTTTCTTGTCTCCTATACTTTACAATTCGAGCATACTAAGTAAAATCCAATCTCTCGTTGACATAAGCAAATGTCGGATTAAGCAAAAGATTTACGTTAATGCTTGAATCACTCTATCAGTAGGAGCTGGGTTCAGATTCTTACTGATGAGTTCTATTACAGCAATGACATATAAGAAGATACAAACATCAGTTGAATGTGTGAATTGATGGATAATTCTATACACAAGAATGGTTTTAAAGAAAAATTGTTCATAATTACTGAAATCTTTTTCTTTAATTTATTCATGAATGATTGTATTATCTCCAACTGCATTGCTTCAATAGAGTTTATCAATAACAATCGAATTTTGACGTCGATTTATATAGACAAAGTCAAGTTTAAACTTTAGAAATACTTTAGTAAAGTAGTAAAAGTTAAAACTTCATCTCTAAATACATTCTATCTTAAATTTGATATTTATCTAGACCAATTCAAGTTTGAAGGTTATCTCAATTTGAATACTTACATGTATAGACTTCTATTGTAAATATTTGATCACAGACAATTGACAAATAATAAAATCGGATAAAAAAAATTCTCTAGTTCAAAAATGTACAATTCTCATTGCAAAATAAAAAAAAAACATTTGAATGAATTAATTCTAGTACATATATACGAAATGAGTTTATTTGATTAACAATTATTTCAATAATATGATTAATAATTAATTTATTATTTTGAACAATATATTCTCTTTTTTTTTGTTATTAAATCATTCATCACATTTACTAAAATTCTGTTTGAAAGACGACAATTTGTAAAATGAAAAAATTTTAAAAACTCCTTTTATTACACTTGACGATAAGTGTGAGTGTCAATGAAGAGAAGGTTTGCATCCACATCCTGTATATTAATAATTGTGTGTTTTTGATTTTATAATTTACTTTTAAAAATTTTGTATCGTGAACAATGATCTGTTTTTCCATATTAAAGAGCCCTGCTTCGAAAAAATTCAATTTTTCGAAAAAAAAAGAAAACGTAAAACTTAACAAACTTTTGGAAAAATATCGACATAACTATCGAGATAATTTTGTGATTATCAAGTTTTTAGAAGATTGTCTTTTTTTATTTATATCGACATTAAATAAACATTCTTATATAATTCAAGTACGACAAATGATGCCAGCTTGTGCCATCTTGTACAAATGCCGCTTGAATACATTATTATTGCTAGATATTAAGGAAAAGAAAACCTTGTCTACATTTATTGAAACTCCTCTCATTCGGTTTAACATGAATCAACATTTTTTTTTTCAAGGATATAAATAATCATCTGATTAGATTTTTTACAGTTGGTTGTCATATTGAGAAAAGTAAAAATTAAATGTCATTTGCTATACTTTATTTTTACACTATATATACGAAAATGATCATAAAAATGAATTTCAAAATTCTACTTAGATAAAAAAAAGAATACGCTCAAGTATTATTTTTAATTTGAAATTCTTTCGAGCTCTATACTTTTTATAGTAATGAACTTATAGAAATTCTCCTTAAGAGTATAAATATGTCGGAATTTGAATCTAGTCTGACGTATCGATCTGAAATTTATATTAAAAGGATTTCTCATTTATGAAAATAATCAATCTAATTTAAATTTCATTAGCTTTTTGTAATCTATTTATTATGATAATTTTCGTTTATCTGATTTGTAATGCATATTTTTTTTTTCGTATGTCAGGGTATCGGTATTATTTTTAGAAAATGAATGAGACAAAAGAAAAAAAAAAAAAAAAAAAAAGAAGAAAACATGGAATCAAACAAAAAAAAAATGGATGGTTATTTTCTCATTATATAAGTAGAAAACAATTCTACAAAAACAAAACGTTGATCTTCTTCTACAAATTATGTTAACTAAAGGAATCAAAAAACAAAAAAAAAAAATTAGTCTCATTGTATGAAAAATTTCTATGATGATGATAATTTTGTTTAACCTTCAAGTTCAAGTCCTAAACCAACTTTATGTCCACCAGCATTCAAATTTCGTGCTTCAAATAAAGCCGATAAAGTTAATTTAAAGCCTAAATAATCATTATATCAAAAGAAATTATATATTGAAAATTAAGAAAAAACTACCTGGACGAAGAAGTTGTTGAAACGAAAGACCAACTTGACAAATATTATTTACTTTAGCACCAATTGCAGTTTGAGAATCAAGTTGATATTTTGATGCAAGTGCAAATCGTGTTTGATTTGTACCTGTTGTCCATGCTAATTGTACACCAGTTTCAAGTCGATCATTTATACGATGATAAACACTACCACCAACTTCATTTCCATCATTTCTATTCAATAAAAATAAAATGAATCAAACCAAAAAAAAAATAGATTTATTAAATGAAAATTTAAGCAATACTAAAGAAAATTAAATATTTTGACTCTTTTATTTGAAGGCCCAGAAAATAAGAAGATACTCATATCAAACAGTGTCCAACGTCTGTAATACTATTTTCAGCTCGGGTTAAACATAGCATACGAAAACTTTGAGTCTATAATAACTTTTATTCTACTAGTTCAGATCTATTTGCTCTAAAGATTTCAAATCTTTTTGATGAGTTCTCTGAAAAATGAGCCAACCCTTAAATTCTCTATGAAAATTGTTGATAAATTATTCTTCTAGAATCCCTATTCGATCTCATCTATCAGACAATTATACATTGATCATATCCAGAGGGTGCTCGGAGGAGCGCCGTCCCATCCCCTCCTCCCGGAATTTCAAATTGCCCCTCCGGAGAAAAAAAATCTGATGTAAAACATTCTTGACAAATGATATCTTTCACTCGAAAGAAGACGACTATTATAAGTTTTGTGTATTTACAAATGATTTTCTTATGAGATTTATTTTTCTTCAGTGATTTATTATTATTTTATTTTTACTTACTAATTCACAAAAAAAAAACGCACACTCCCAAACTCTGACAGTTCTGAGAATAGGGAATTAATACAAACTTTTCAATTATCATAGAAGAATCATTTCCATATTTAATACAGGATTAATGAAAAAAGTATTTTTACTATATTGCATTATCTTCATATGTAGCATTACAAATCTTTTTCGATTATATTTACATTATAAAATATGATGCTAATTCTCTACACTAATATCTAAAGGCTATACAATACTCATCAAAAGTTCCACTAAAATACAAACTATATATTAACATGAATCCGAATCGCAAACAACGTGATCGACTTTTATACAAAAGAGCTAAAATTTTCATTATTTTTATACATTACATTTTCGACTTATGAATCTTTCAAAACAAAAGGTGTTTGTCTTTCAACACTAAAAAATTCAATATCATGACTAAATCTCAAACTCTTCGAATACTTAGAGTTATCCAAAAGTTCTGACGTCATTATCTTATTTTCTTATGAACAGATAGAAAGTCTTTTGTTCTATTTTTCTATGTTATTTGATCATTATTTAACTAATATCATAATAATAAAATTTCGATAAGAACTGTTTTTATTGAAAGCTAGCTGGTGGTATATTAGATCATAATGGGTGTGGCATAAAAATGGGGCACTTTTGTATTAAAAAGCAAAATATACCACAAGATGCAGCGTGAAAAGCTCTATAAATTACATGAGATCACTTATTTTATAGTTGCACTTTTTGTTTTCAAAATGGACAAAACTCTGAGCGTACAAATTTCGACGCTTCGCAAACGAAATTTTTTTTTTTTGGTAAAAAACGACTTCGTTTTTTTCCTATCTCATCTTTTTATAATTGTTCTTTGTAAATTATAGAGCTTTTCACGCTGCATCTTGTGGTATATTTTGTTCTTTTTTTAATACAACGTATTAAGTGATAATAAAGTGAAATGCAAAAGGTCCGACCCGTTAAGATCTAATGCCACCAGTTAGTTTTCAATAAAAACAGTTCTTATCGAAATTTTATTATTATGATATTAGTTAAATAATGATCAAATAGCATAGAAACATAGAACGAAAGACGTTCTATCTTTTCATAAAAAAAAGATAACGACGACAGAACTTTTGGATTGTCCTAAGTATTATTCTTAGCCGATTGTTACCAACATCGAAGTAAATGAAACAGGTTTACCTTGAAATATTCTCTCATTAGGGCTACCTCGCTCATATATAAAAATATAATTGTAAATTATTGTTGTAGCAAATTAGAAAAAATCTTATTTTAGACTTCAGAATAAAAATAATGTTTTTATTCTAAACCTGAACTATGAAATATATGTACTGAAAAAAAAACGATATCTTCAGTAAATACTGACTCTAAATATTTATAGTTTTCTTTGAATTTGAAATTAGTAGTAAGAACATTGATATGTATCATGCCTACAATCTACACTCAGTCATCTTGACAAACCATGTAATAAATACGATGTTATACTTACATAGTTTATCATTTGGTGGTTAAATGAAAAAAAGCCTAACATATCAGAATTTTCTTTTTTTTTTGTCTTTCTTATCTTTTGACTAATGTTTGATCTCTATTAAAATATTAGATAATAAAACATATGTATCTTCCTTGTCAGAATTTTCCATAGTAATTTTTTCCTATAGATAATTCACTTATCTTTAAATTATTTCGAAGATATGAAAATAATATTTTGTAATCTAAACTTCTTTTATTAATTTCATATAATAAAATGATAATTCAATTTAAAATTTTCAAAAGAAAAAAATAGAAGTACTTACAGATTAGCAAATAATGCAAAATCATTTGCTTTATATCCAACAGCAAAATTATTTTTTGTTAAACCAGCTTTTGCAGTACTATAAACATATTGATAACCAGCTAACCAACCTTGATGACCTAAAACAACAGATCCATTAAGTATTGGACCAGTTGCATCCGAACCAATATTTGTTTCAACTTGTGCTTTATCATGTACATATGTTGTACGAAGTTCAGCTGTTTTTTTTCTTCAAAAAAAAAAAAATAAAAATAATCAATTGATTTTTTTCTTCTTATAATAAAAATTCAATTTAATTATACCCTGTATGTGGTACAAGACTAGCATCAAAAACAACTTTAAAACCTTGTGCTAATTGATCATCAGCTGTTATTTCACATTTAAGTAAATTATCTGTATTCCATTTTTCCAAAAATGTTAAACCATATGTTGGAATAACATATTTTGTTTCAAGACTACCAAATGTTCGTGCTGTTTCTGTATTATGTTCACCAATAACATTAAAATTAACACCATTAGCCGTACGTGTTTTAACATCAAGTTTAAATAAATTGAAAACTTAAGAAAATATATGAATAATAATCAAAAAAACAAAAAAAAAAAATTAACTTACAAAAACCTTTATTAAATATATCTGTTACTTGTTTATTAAGATCGGCATATTTTGGTGGAGCCATAAATTCAATTTAAGTAAAAAACGAGAATATTAATTTCAAGAAAGTAAAATAAATAATTTTATATCGACAACAAAACAAAAACACATATATATAAAGAGATTAACTTATCCGAAATTTTTTATTGATGAAAAAAAATTAACCAATAAAATATAATATATAATGATTGAAAATAAATAAATATTTATATATTTCAAAATTTGTTTTGTTTACAAAAATTTCTTTAAAAAAAGAAAAAAGAAAAAGATTTTTTATTAATATTTAATAAAAGAAAAAAAATTCTATTGGTAAATACTAAAGAATATATATATAAAATGCTGCTAGACAACAACGGAGGTAGTTACTCAGTTTAATCATAGTGCAATGGCAAAATTTGTGATCGCTGGTAACGATTGTCAATTGATATAGAAAATTTTCTTGAATATATATATTTGTTTCATTTAAGGAAAAGCTAATTGTCCACATTATGCCAAAGCAGAACTATTAGGAGATTATCTTCAACGTAATTTACCTAATTTTACTATTCATAAATGGTCAATTGAAGCCAAGGTAAAGGACGGGGGGGGAGGGGGAGAAACAAATGTAACAGACAACTAAGTAATAACATAAAAAAAGAAACTCATATGAAGAGAAGGTCAAAGAAAAAGATAATTGGTATAATTAATTCATCTTCATCATTTTCTATAACTGTTTATAATTGATCAATATTTTTGTACATTTCTTTTTTTTTTTCAATTTACAATGACATATCAAATGTTTGTTCATGTAACGTTTACTTTCAATGCGTGTCATATATTATTCAATAGAATATTTCTATCTATTAGTTCTATATATTATAAATATAAAAATTTTTTTTCGTTTAATTATAATTGATGAATATTTAAGATACAAAATTTATTAACAAATCTGAAAAATTCTATATATAGTAATAAATTTTTGTTCAGTTAAAAATTTCATTCTTGTATTATGATTGTTGAATTTATGAAAATTCATGTTTTGAATATGAAATTTAAACTAGAGAATTTAAATCTTGATTAGATATTTGATATAATAAATATTGTAGTTTTCTATGTCAAAAAAAAATAAAGAGTTGGAAAAATATTGTTAATAATTTATTATGAGATATTCTTTATAGTTATGTAAATAGATTTGATGACAAAAAGTATAATACTTGAAATTTATTATTCTTCATACTACAAAGATTTTTGCTAAGTATTTCAAGTTGTTCATAGTATTGTATCTATGATAGAATTGAATATCATATAATTCGACACTAGAAACTACGAATATGATTAATGTTTTCTTATCAATATTTGAAAATTATTCATTATTACTCAATAAAACTATCAAGTTTACTTGAATTTTGTACTTTCTCTATGAGATATTTTCTTTTATATCTTTTGATTTCGAGACCTTCGAAATATTAAATCAAGTCGTAAGGACCATAAATATGAACCACAAAATTGATTAATTGAAATTACAGAACAAATCGGATATACTAAACGGAGAAAAAGAAAACGGTTTATCCGCTATTATTTAAAATGTTTCATTCGAATATTTTCAAAAAAATTTTATTAAATTAGAAAATGTTATAACAATTGTAAAAATATTAAAAAAAAACGAACTACTCATAACTTGTGAAGTCATATTTTACGAATATAGAGAAGCTTTTTTTGAATTGAAATAACTTCACAAGGATTCGAATTCATCAAAATTTTCTAAAGAGTAAGATAAAATATTGAAAAGAAAGTTTTCAGTTAAAATCATTGGAAAAATTCTTAAAGTTTACGATTGTAAGAAAAAACCCAAGGAAATTTTTGTTATATTTAGAATTGGGATGATTGGATAAATTCTATATATGAAAAATATCAATGGAAATCAACTAAACGATCATCTCCAATTATATGGCGTGAATTACTTGAACGTGGTGGTCGTAGTACATTAGTTGGTGATCTTGATGATTTTCAAGAATATGCTCAATCTTATTATGGAACAATTCTTGATCATTTTATGACAAATTCATCAGCACTTTTTCGTTTAATTGCTGAAGAAAATTTTCAACAATATACAAATGATATTCAATTAAAAAATCAATATATTGAACAAACAATAAATCCATATTATGTTTGTATTATTGGTGCACATCATCCATGTGCATATGAATTATTTCCAACATTATTTTCAACAAATTTATTTCCTAATCGTGATATATGTCTTCGTTTAACAACAAATAATATATCAAATTTATCATATTTACAAGCTATGTCAATGGAAATTGAAGATCTTGCATGTAAACAATTTCATAATATTGAAATTTCATTACAAGATAATGAAAAATTCTATGAAAATATAGATTTTATTTTAATTATTGATGATTATTTTTTTGAAGAAAAACAAAAATATTTTGATTTATTAGTTAATGAAAAACTAAAATTAAATAAATTATATGATGAAGCAAATTTATTTGATGATGAACGACCACCATTTATACCAGAAAAAATAAAATATGATTATAAAAAAGCATTTAATTATTATAAAATATTAGCTAATCAAATTCAAACAAATATTAAATCAACATGTCAAATACTTATTGCTTGTTCGAATTCAACTATGATTGCAACACAAGCATTTATAAAAACAATTAAAAATATTCCAACAAATAATATTCTCGGTCTTTCAAGAACAATTGAAAATCAAGCTAAAGCAAGAATTGGAAAAAAACTTAATGTTGATCTTAAAAGTAAAGTTTTTTTTTTTTTCTTGTGTCCAACTATGAATAGAATCAAGATTAGCAATAGAATTAAGCCTATGTTTAGTAATTTGCTAAAGTTTCTAGTATATTTATATAATGTTCTTTGTTTATGCGCACTAGGCCTCGAAACAGGCCACTTTTTTTATGACCTGGCCCGAGGACGAAGAAAATTTCGTTTCCTAGGACAAAGTGATGACCGAGAGGGGTAGCGTGGAAACTTTTCTCCTATCCCATCCCCTCAGAGACGAGTCAAATATCAAAATAGGATAAAACCGTCGGACTGGGTATTCCGTTTCGGGACCTGATGCGCACTTATCAATAAATATACTAGATATATCTCTTTTTCAAGGATAACTGAACTAATTGGAGTATAAAGCCCTGTATATTCCAGATGATTTCTAGTTATTTACTTGATCCTAATTGAATCAGTTTATCGAATAAGTTTAATATTGATTGTGAAAAATCTTAAGTGAATTTCTCTATGATTTAGATATTGTTGATCTACATATTATTGGAGATATTAATGGTGAATATATTATTGATACAAGTCATTGTCAAACAATTGATTATGAAGGTGCTATATGGGCACGAACATTTTTAAGAAATTCAATAGATATGTTAGCTGATTCGAAATGGTTTAAAGACGTTCTTGGAAAAGAAGTTGAAAATCGAGGTAAATTATTTAGTTAATTAAATATTTACACACAATATAACTAATATGTTTTGTAGATTTTGACCTTTATACTCGTGCTGAACATAATCGAATACTTGTTCATACACAAGCATCAGCTATATTATCATTTATTCAAGGTAAAGATTATTTTATTGATAACTATTACTAATAAAATTTTGTGATTTTCTTTTTTATCAGATTGGATCAATGGTTCCAATGATGATTATTCATATTCATGTGTTATGTCTTGTTCAAGTTCGTCTTTAGGTTTAACAGAAACAAATGATGAAGAACAAATAAATGAAAATATAATTTGTTCTGTACCTGTAATGATGAAAGGTCCAGAAGAAATAGTACCTATTGATTTAAATCTATCAAGTGATAATCGTCTTACACTCATTCGTATCATCAAGGTAAGTTTTTTTTCTTTTAAATAAAAATATCAATAAAATTGATCAATCATTTATTTTTTATTTTTTGCTTGTTTTTTTGTTATCATAGGATATGCAAGTCAAATATAAAATGGATTGATTATCATATACAAACTATTCTTCATATTTCATCGTGTGTTCGTTTTTTGACATTTCACATAATTCTTTTTCTTCTTGTCTTTTACACCATATTGAAATAACATTTCGTTTTTTTTTTTTGGTCTCTCTATCTCGTGATATTATTTTCATCAAACGACTAACATGATGATAAGAAAGAAATTATGATGGAGATGAGTTCGTCTCCGTTTTTTTTTATCTTAACAGATATATATATATTCTATATTGTACGCAATCGTGCATGAAACATTTTTATACAGAATATATAGAAAAAACAAATCGACATTGATTTCATCTAGTCCGAAACGGTAAAAAAAAACGAAGAGCGTGAGAAAAATTGAATAAGATACATATGCACATCGTTGACATGATGGTGTACGGTCACCCATCATCACACAACCATTGACCGAACATATATACGCATCAAAATGATTAATATAAGTGTTCATTTGGTTCAATGATGTATACACATCTAGTTTCTTCATATGAAAATGATCAGTTGAATACATGACACATTAAAAAGAAAAGAAAATACATAATTATGTTTCATCAACAATTTTATTCTCAATCACAACAACAACAACAAACAGTATTTCATAATAATCATGGACCAAATCATTTCTATATGCCAAATAATTCATCTTATTATCATTCAGGTCCTATACCAAATCAAAGTAGTCATCATGTAAATTTTAGTCGTATATTTGAATATTTTCCTATGCCATCACATGGTTTTACTTCAATGGGAACAGCTCCATATATTTTCAATGATATAACAAATCAACAACAATGGAAATCAAATATGACAAGAAATCATCATTATCATCATCATCAACAACAGTATCATCGTATACCAGCATATTATTTTCAAGATAAATCAACATATTATTATATGTCTGAACCAATGATTACTAGTAATAATCGTATTACAGTAAACGAAAAAACAAAAAAATATAAATATATATAAATTTTTCTATTGAAATAATGTTTCTTTTTTTTTTTTTCTTATTTATTAGATTCAATTAACAAAAGTTCATATTGGAAAAAATGGTGATCAACAACGTGTATTTGTTGAACAAGAATTTAGTAATCAAAATGAATTAAGAAAATTTTTTAAAAATTTAAAATATAATTTTGAAAAAACATTTAATAATCGTACTACAAATATTCATAATAGTAATGAAACTATTCATGATAATCAACATATGAATAATAATAATAATAATAATAAACAATCTGGGTTAGTTGTTGTTGTTGTTTTTTTTTAAATCAATCAATGAATTTTTTTGTTTTTTTAATTTTTAGTGTTATTGTTATTGAAGAACCAGATGAAGAACCAAAAATTTATGAACAACAAGTTTATAATGAAAATATTAATTCAAAAGAAAAAATACAAAAAATAAATTATCCATTAGTTAATATATCACAAACAATAAATGATGAACAATCAACAATTATATCATCATGTTCAACAATATGTGTAAATCAACATCGAAAAACTAAAAAGAAATATTATCAAGAAAATTATGATAATGAAATAAATAAAAAACAAAATCAAAAATCATCAAATTATTATCATCATCATCATCATCAACAACAACAACATTATGAATTACCACCAAGATTTCAACAACAATTTTTAAATAAAGAAAATTTTTTTCGAATGACAAATGATTTTGATATTCATTGGGTATTTCATTTTTATTTTTATTTATTTCTACATATTATCTTCTTTTTTTTTGTGTAGAAATTTAATAAATTTCACAATACACCATATAATCAACCATATTCATATGTTTTACCAATGAATGAAAATCTTCCACCATCAACATCATCAGTATTTCATCATAAAAAAGATTCATATTATCATTCAACAACACCATCTCATTTTATTCATACACAAAATCAAAAACAATTTCAACCATCATCATCATCATCTCGACGTCGTCGTGGAAAAAAACATCGACGAAATCAACCAAAAATAATAAAAGAAAATATTATTTTAACAAATAATACACAACAACAAACACGTGTTCATCGTTCACGATCAAATTTTCAACCACAAATATCATTTCAAAATCAAATTCAAACATATCAATATCTTAATTATAGATATAATTCAAATCAACAACATTATATACCATATATACCACCATCTCGAATACCTATATATTATCCTCAAAGACGATTATATAGAAATACACAAATATATTATCGTTTTGTTAATTCTTATCGTCCGAATACAATTCGTTTTTAATGTTAATGATAATTTATTCGTTGACAATTTGTTTCAATACAAAAAATTCCCATATTTATATCATCTATTGAACATGGCCATGTATGTAATTGACGAAATAATCCATGTTTACTATCTGGTATAGGACTTGCAAGACCAGATAAACTTGAATCTTGACGACTCCAATCATGACCTAGATAATAATAATAAAAATAATAAAATATAACTAAATGATTTTCTTTCTTTCTTACATGTATCAGTTGAAGCTGTTCCATTGATATGAGTACCATGCCACCAATATTGAAATCTAGAAAGAAAAACAAAAATAATTTTGTTAACATTGAAATGTTTTAATTAAAAATTGTTGAACAAAATCTTGTCAAGATATAAAACTCTTTTTTATGGAATAATGTATATTACATATATATATTTTTTGCAAGATGCATATCTTGAAGAGATTTTATTTTTGTTTTTATTGAAGTTAGTCTAGTTGAGTTCTCTTTAGATGTGTGAAATTTCAGGTTAAAAATTGAAAGTACAAGTCTTCCGAAAATCTAGTACTTCTTATTAACTAAAATTTTTTGGTTTCGTTTCGACTAATTTTCTTTTTTTTTCTTGTTAATCATAACATTCGATCTAGTGCATTGTTAGCTCTGGTCACAAAGACCTCGATTAGTGTTTGATTTCGTACATCTGTCTTTCTTACAAATACAATAGAATACCATGAAATGATAAATAAATAAATAAATATATAAAGGAAAACTGATCTATAGATCATATGACGACTGATAGTAGTTGTCTATCAATAAGACAAGAAAGATCTGTCGGATATGTTTTAGAGAAAACAAAAACAAAAACATCACAAGTAATATTTAACATTACAATATGTCTAGAACATTTTAAAAATATCTAATCTCAATGATATGATTTCATTCTTACAATAATATAAATATATTAATCATTTGCATAGATAAAAAAAAACATAGTCTTATATGAATTTCTATTTTGAACGATTATTTATAAGTTCAAGTATTCGATTACTGTTTACATATAGGAATGTACTATTCTTATCTTTTCTTTCTTTCAATAATTCTATTCGAATTTAATTTAAAACCTTACTGAGGTTTTAATCCTTGTACATCAAGAATGTCATTTTGTAGTAATTTTTGTTGAAACATATCTTCAATTGTATCAAATATAATTTGTTCCTTCAAAAACAAAATATTCATAAAATAATTTCTATGAAACAAAACAAAAAAAGAAACTAACATGCATATTAACAAGATTTGCATTAACACAAATACCAGCAAATAAATTTGATAACCATTGTGTACTTGTTGACATAAATGCTCGATAAAAACCTGTTAAACCTTGACGTTGAGATATATGATCACATAAATCATCATAATCAGATAATTTTGAACATAATAAATTTGTTCGTTCTGGATAACACATTTTACGTACACGAGGACCAATAGCAAATATATGAAGCTAAATATAAAGAAATTTATTTATAGAATAATAATAATCTATTGAATTTGTTATTAATTTTATCTTATACTAATTTTCTCATTCATATATGAATTCGGCTATATCATTTTAGAAGTTTAGGAATAGTTTAGTTATGTAAAAAAGATATATTTTAATTTATCTTGAAAATAAATTATTAATAATCAAATAAGAATTACTCATTTTTTATGATATAGATAGTTAAATAATGAATATTATACTCATCTCATATTGATTTTAATTATTAAGTTCGATAAACAATTGTGTTAATTTCAATCGACTATTGTTCAATTTTATTGATAGTTAAATTCATAGGAAGATAACTTTTAAGATCTAAATTTTCATCAATAATATTTGAAAAGAAATGTTTTTCGATAGTACATCTCAGAATTCTCGAAAAAGGAGTTTTACTAATTATTTGTTAAATATTTTTCGAAAATATTATAATATACAATTAGCAATTTTATCATAGATTCTCCATTAATATAATTTCATATGATTTAAATATATTTATCTTAAAATCAATTTTCAAGAATGAAAATTTATATATTATTTCATTTCTAGACTCTATGTTTTCATAATAGAATTATATATTAAATCAATATCTATTTCTTATTTGTCAACTTCTGAACAGCTGTTTCTCATTAATATCTATGGGTACATGTTCTTCAGCTTACGAGAGAAATTCGTTTGGACAGAATACACTTCTATGCTGTAAGAAGGGCAAAGGGTTAAATACTTACACTTTTACATGGAAGGATAGTAGTACATTGCTGAAAGCAAAAAAAAAATATAATATGTTGAATAATCACTAAGATTTATTACTTACCGGTTTTGGGATAGATAATGTCGTCGGTGGTAATGTTTGTTCTGGTACATAATGTGAACTCTATAAAAAAAAAATAATTAAATTTTATTAATGAATAGAAGAAAAAAAAAGAATATAGATAATACATCGCTTTCTAATCGTAATGGTATTAATTGACCATGAACTCGTATATAAACACCTTGTAAACGTCCATGGTCATTAACAATATGAACATATGTATGATCTGGATAAGTTGATGAAGCAATTATTGCTTGATGTAATGTTTTAAATACTCGTACATTAGTCTATATGAAAGGAATAAAAAAAGAAAAGAACGAATAAAAACGTTTTATGTTTTTCTATTTTTTTTTTAATTGAATTCATTTATAAACCTGCATTGACTGTACACATGTTGATGAACATGATGTACCAGGATCACCTTTATCACCTTTCAATCGCATATACTAAAATTGAGAAAACTTTTTTTTTTTAATAAAATTCTATAATTCATTATTTTTCTTATACAGTATTATAATCCAGAGTAAATGGAGTAGATATTGATGATACTGTTGTTGATGATGGTGTACATACACATGGTACTGCTAGAGCATTTCGATAAGCAATTTTCTATGGAAAATTAATTGATAAATATTATTTTATAATAATAGAAATAATTTTTTCTTCTACTTTAGTATCAATAATTAATTGACGTAATGATTGAGCCAGATGTTCGAGATTAATTTGTGAGCCAAGACAATCTTTTGTTGTCGTACTATATCTTACAGAACAATCTTTTAAAATAAAAAATGACATTGAATAATAATAAGAAAAAGAAAATATTAATATACTATTGACGTTTACCTGCCGGACATATACCGGCATCACCTTTCTCGCCGCGTTCGCCCTTAAATGAAGTTTGTTGAATCTTTTTTTTCTTCTTATTACATAAATTTTTACCTTTTCACAATGACATGGAGAATATGGCTATAAAATAAATAGGAAAATAATAGTTCATTATTCTTTATTCGTTGTATTTTTTTGTTTAACTTACACGAGGTGTATATTTAGTGAAAGCAGTTGTAGTAGTTCCCTATAATATAGAAATAATAATAATTATCAGGTTTGTCTATAGTTATAGCTGTGAGCTATTTATAATTATGCATATAAGATTAAGCTGTATGATTACAACATCAATACATATAAATGAGAAAATAACACAAACTTAAGCGAAATCTATCAACAACATATTATATAAACAAAATTCTTCTTTATTTTCTAGATCATAATCACATATTGAGAAAATATGGAAGACAATATTTATTATATATGTTCATAACTGATTTAAAATGTGTCTATTTGTGACAAAGAATAATAAAAAAAAAAGAAAACAAATATATTCATTTACGTTTAGATAATTATGTAATAAAAACAAAAAAGAAGTTAAATAATAATTAATATATACCTGAAAAAAAATGACTATAATTAGTAGAATGATCATGAACAATAATATTGAGTCAACAAAGACTAATCCGACATATGCTGTATAAGAAATTGTTTGTATAAGTCTTTTTTTTTGTTTCTCACTCTAATCGAATATATATATATGAATATAAAGAGAAAATGTTCTTATGTATATTAATAATCAATATATAGGGTAATAATAGCAACAAAGTAATTATTCAATCGTTGTGGACGACTTATAGTACGAATATATGGACATAATCTTCTATCACAATTGTTTATTTATCAAGAAACAACGACGTATATAAGCAAGCTTTGACATTTGAGAAAAAAGATGTATGACGAAAGTGATAAACATCATACTGATTTCCTTTCTTATTCCTTTTTTTTTTTTTATTATTCGCATGAAAGAAAAAAAAAATAGTCGATTATTTTCTTTAGAACACTAACTAGTGATATACTAGAAACTGAAAAACATTAGTAACAATAAACACAAAGGGCACTAGCAAAACATCTATTAACTATCCATAATATAGATACCGAAAAACAAAATCCAGATGGTTATAGACTCATTATATTATGAATGATTTATTGAATTAAGATGGAAAATAACTCACCATAGTAAATGCTACGATACTCATATTTGAATAGACTGGTGGTAATTCTTCACTTTCAAGATCTCCTGATCCATCAAAAATTCTTGTATTATCATCACTAGTTGAATAAATTGATCTTTGTTTACGATCAGCTATTCTAAAACCTTCTTCTTGTTCAAGTATTCGACTTAATTGTTCAATTAAAAATTTATTATCAATATCATTTGATGTATCATCTTGAAGTGCTGTATCAACAATATGTTTAAGATTACGTACAATTGGATCAATTCGATTGCTTATATTATTTGTTGATGAACTAGTTAAAACAATTGTACATAGACAATTGATAATGGTCACCATTATTAGTAGATGAAGACAAAAGTACATTTGCCGGTACTTTCATTGAGTTAGCTATGTGTAATATTGTATTCGTTTATTTATTATAGTTGTTGACAAGAGAGAGAGAGAGAGAGAGAGAGGGAGGGAGAGACATAGAAAAAAATGTCATTATCCTAAAGTACATCTATTTTCTCTGTTCTTCTTTTTTGTTCCTGTCTTCCTGTTTATATTTTATTGATAGGAAAGGAAAAACAAAAGAAAAGAGTTTTTTTTTTTTTATTTTCGTTGTTTGTATTACAAACAGCATAAATAAAAAAATAATAAAAAAAAAACAAAGAAGAGAAAAGTGATAATTATACATGAATCAATAAAAAGAAGAAGAAGAAGGAAAAAAAAAATGTTAATAATGTTTATAAGAAAAGAACACATATTGCACAAGACGACAAGACAAGACAAAAGAAATAGAGTATTTTATTTATGTGTAACGAATATTTCTATATCATGATTTTGATTAGCTGTATTCGATACATTAGCAGCTGCTTTTCGTCGTTCTTGAATTAATTTTTTTAAATCATCATTAACTGGTTTTGTTGTTGATGATTTTGATTTATTTTGATGAGGTTGTAATTGTTTAAGACGTTCATCAATAATTCGTGGTCGATTATTAACTAAAATAGAAGAAAATATTTAATAATTCAAGAAAATATTATTTTTTACCATCATTTGGATCATATTCATCTTCAATTGAAATCCATTGTTTAGCTTTACGTGCATCAAGTTTAGTAAATTTGATCTTAACTTTATCAATTAGTGGATATGTGATATCCCAAAAACCTTCAAGATCACTATCAAGTGGTGTTGGTTCACCAGCAGATGTGTTTGATTTTGACTAACATTAAATGAAAAAAAAAACTTATTATATAAAACAACTTTTTTTTTTTTTTTTTTTGTTGCCTATACTTACCACATTTGCTTGGCATAAACCACGAAATTGTTTAAGTTTACCTTTGAGTAATAAATTAACTTCACCAATCACAGCATTTATATCAGAACGAACTTTAAGAACAAAAACGAAAATTTTTCATAAAAAAAAAAAAGTTAATAATATTTACCATCATCATTTAGACGACTATCATCCGTTTGAAGAAGTTTATTATAACTATCTGCTTTTGATTTAATCGTCTTTTCTTCATTGTCCAATAGAGTCAAGAATTGTTGACCATTCTAAATAGAAGAAATTACTTATTTAAAGAAAGTTATATTCATTCATTGACAAACTCTTACTACTACTATTGAACTCGATATATTCAAGAACCAAAAAAGTCACATACTAACTAAGATATTTTTATAGACATATCACGCAAATCAATTAAGTAATCGTATAGGTTTTCATTAGAAAAAATAACATTAATATATATACGTTTAATGTAACTTAATTGAATATAAAAAAAAAACTTATTTATACATACCATTTTTTATTAGTGAAGACGATCGTACAATAAAAGTAACTAATGAGAATGAAAAAAAGAGGACGCGACCAGTTTGATGATGATGATGATGATGAAATGAACAAAAGAGAAAGAAAGATGACGATGTATATATATGATCGAAACTAGTATGTATGTGAACTTGTTCTCTCGGAACTGGCTGGCTTATTTCACTAAATATATATATATAAATGTGCGTGCGTGTGTGCGTGCTTTAAATAAAAGAATAAAAAAAAGAATGCAAAGACAGAGAAAGAGAGAGAGAGAGAGAAAAAACAACACTAGTCAAAGAAAGAAAACATGAGTCATCATCATCACTCGACACTTCTATATAAGACTACCATAACAAACTTGACACAATGAAGAAAAAAAAAAAAAAAAAAACATGACAAATCAACGAATGAAATTATTTTTCCTTTTTCATCATCATCATCAATTGTCCATCCAAAATGATATATGGAGGGCAGTAGTCAACGAAAAAAGAAAAAAACATTTATATATATATATATATAAAGAATAATTTATTCATTCCGATGGGAATCTATATTAAATAAATATATTGAATTCAATTTCCCCCGATAGCACTGTATGTCTATCATCACGCGTGTGTATGTGCAAATAGAATGAACTAGATGATAGAGGCATATTCACTGATCTTATATTTATGTACAAAAAAAGAAGATATCAAAAGTTATTTATTTATTATTAGTATGTTGAAGTTAAAATATAAGATAATTATTTAAAATAATATAATCAATGTTTCTCGAAGAAATAGTGAGCATAATGAAAAAAGTATTAAAAATTTATTAGTGAAATTAATGAGTTAACCGTACGTAAATAATTCTATTTTTCATACAATTGATTGCTATTCATATATTTTTAATTCTATATTATTATCAATTCATATTTAACGGCTGTATTAAGTGTTAAAAAGGAAAAAAAACTCATTTGATACGCTCTTGATCTTTTCGATTGAACTTCATTTGTTAATCGTTAGTCGAGGTGTGATATCTCATTGCTCAATGAATAGTAAAGAGTACATTAAAAATGATGGTCAACTTTATAACATATAAGTAAGAGTTGGATCTTCAATATCAACTTAGTAAATACAGAATTGTCATATAAAAATATACATCAGTCATCATTTGATAACAATGACAAATCAAAATAAGACATATAAGAATTGTTCTATTCAAAAAAAAACATCTACATTTCATCAAAGACTATTTTTAGTAATGTGTCGGTATTCAACAATATTATTTAGCGAATGTGTTTACGTCTCACTCAAACTTCTATTGATCTTTTTTTTAGTTAAAAGCATTGACAGGCAACATAAATAAATGTATTTTGAATTTTGTTTAATTTCTTTTAATCAATCAACCATTATAGTCAAGAACAAAAAACAAAAAAAAAAACTTTCTTCAAGGTTTCAAAACTAAAACATATGCCAGAGCGTTTTTCTTTTTTTTACATTAGTAGTGATACTTGAAAATATCAGAAAAAAAAAAGAACGTTGTATTTTTTGTTTTTCAATATTTTAATAAATCAAATATTTTATTCAATCATTTTTCGTTTAATTGTTAAAAAGTAAATATTTTTAGTTTATAATAGGTTTAAAATATTTTAATTTAATTCTTAAGTTTTCAATAAATACGTAAATTTTCAAATGAAAAATAAGAAATTTATCAAAATAAATTATTTTCTAATCTATAGATTAGTTATATATCATATACGAACAAAAAAATAGTTATCAACTTGTTAAAAATAATCCCGTTATTATTATTATTATTATTTTGTTTCATTTTTTTTTTGTAAAAGATTAGCACATGCATCATTTCTCATCATTTTTATTAGCAAACGGTTAACTCGAAACACCAGAACAAGAAAGAAGGAAAGAAAAACAAAACAAAAGCATAGAGTGATACAAGCAATTCATTTACGATTATTTATATATATATATGTATATGATCAATTTCGTGTTAATTAATTAAAGAAAAGAAAGGTGTTCAAAAAAAAAAAAAAACAAAAAAAAAACCACAAAAAACAAGTAAAGAAAAAACAAAACGAAAGAAATACACACAGGTACACAACAATCTGACGAAAAAAAGAGAGAGAGAGAGTAGAAGAACAAAATACTGACGACAAACACTGAATATAGACATTGACCATCATGCAAAGATTGAAATATAGAAGAAGAGAAAAACAAAGAGTCCATCACCAATTTAAATGAATAACGTGCGCGCATGATGTTTATGCTTTTCTTTTTTTTTATATCAAGTGTAAATAATTGAGTGTTTTTATTTTTTGCTTTATTATAATATTAGTTGTTTATCGAACTTACCTGTGGTTCATCAAGTAGAAATTCATGAGTTTTTTGTGTTAAATCATCAACAATTGACCATACATGATCATCAATAGAATTTTCATCATTACAATTATTTTGTTCATGATTTATTATTGTTGGTTGATGATCATAAACAGCAGATGATTGCCAATGAACAATTTCAGTATCAAAAAGTTCACCAGTACGATCAAATAATTCAACATTTGGAGATTCAGCACCATCAATACGATGTTCATCATTGATTTGTTCTATTCAGATAACAAAACAAAAAAATATAATAATCTAATCATGTATTTTGAATTCATCGAAAAGAAAAAAAACAAGATCTTGCTCTATGAATCCATTTCGCGATTACTAATCAGTTTTTTTGGTGTTTTTCTTGAATGTCTCAAATCATAGGATGATGTAGCATATGTAGTGGCGTAACCAGGGGGTGGCCAGGTGGGCTAAGCCACACCATCAAAGCTTTGAGCCCCACTATCGACTTAGAGCTCGACCAGTTGAGCCCCTCCACCGTTAAAATCCTGGTTTCGCCATTAAGCATGTGCACAAGTGTACTCAACATTGCATTAGTGTACGATGCTTACATACAAATCTCTGTTATGTAAGCTTATAGAGCACGTCCTTCTCAATCTAATGATGCAGGTATAATATCCACTGTACATCGTTGATGTATCGATAGATGGCGCCACCTATCGACAGATGAATTGCATGCAGTAGGAATGTGCACACCGTTATATAGAGAAAGTTTAAAAGAAATTTTTTTCTAGTAAAGCACTTTTGGTTGTAATGTTTTTCCACTGATCGATTAGTGGCGAAACTAGGATTTTAACGGAGGAGGGGCTCGAAGCTTTGGCGGTGGGACTTAGCCCCACCTGGCCACGCCGTGGTTACGCCACTATGATCGATAGATATTAGATATGAAGGATAGTTTTAGATTATTTTTTCATGTGAATTTAAGTCAATTCTTGAGAATTATTTGCATTTTTTGATAGCACTTCCGAGGATCTATAAATATTTATACATATCACTTGAGTTCATTTTATTCTCGAAAAATTTAATTGCGATTATCTGATGTTTGCACTGTTCGAATAATTTCATATAAAATTCTACACTTCAGAAAAATAATTACGATTTGTAAATGTAAACAAAGTCAATGTTTAATAAGCAAAAATTCAAGGTTTAATAGTGTATTTATATCTTTTTATAAACAATATTTCACATGAAACTTCCATTTGTTTTTTATTCTGACAATAATCTCTTTCTACTATAAAACTAATTTATAAAGTTAAACTGAATTCAAGATTTCTTTAACTATTAATCGTCAATCGGTATGACTCAGCAAGACTAGGAAAAGTCTAACAACATTTATCATCATAGACTTTCATTAAGAAATTATTTAAAAATATAGAAAAATCAAAAATAAAGGAAATTGCATCTGAAATTAGCAATTTATCTTACCATATTTTGGTTCATTATCCTAGAAAATAAAGAAAAATATTACTATTTTCTTATAAATATCATTTTCTTTTTCTTCTTACCATAAAAATATTTGTATTATTAAATGTTGAAAGTGCACGTTCAGTAATTTCCATAAGATTCATATTTGAATTATTAGTATTCATTGGTATATCATAAACAGCTTGTAATAAATGATTATCATCATGATTAACAACACCAAGTGCTCGATCAACAGCACGTAAAAAATTTCTTTCAAATTCATCATTATTTTCATCATATAATTTTTCATTTATTAAATCTATATTTTTATCATCATTATTTGAAGATGATGATATAAATGTTTTTACATGAAGAGAAACTGCTGGTGTAACATGAACTTTTGATGAATATACTTTTGGTTCAGATTCTATTATATCACCGTCTTCACGAATAATAAGTTCATTTTCAATAGGCATATTTGATGAATATTCATCATCATCAAGTAAATTATTATTGGATTCAACTAAATAAAATAAGTTATACAATTAATTCATACTCTTGTTATGAACGAGTAAAAGACTAAGTCATAGTTTTCTAATTTAACATTCATATTCACATTCTATCATGATTATTTTTTTTAACTGAATTGGAAAATAATTGTCTAGAAAATGTGAGACTAGATTTCATTTTATGTCTTGAGGGAAGGAACTCTTATATGTCTTCGCCCATAGATTAATGTTCCAGTGTTTTGATAAATCGTATCACAATCTACAGATAGCTTATTTTATCAGGAAAATCAATAAGCATATATTTCCATTATAGCCTAAAAGAATTTTATTAGTCTAATCATTTGCTTCTGTGACATTATAAAAAGTAGAACACTTCAGTTTTATATCTAAAATCTGTTCTGTTCTATAAATCAATCAACCATATGTGCATTAGTTTGTAACATAACTTAAACTACAGAAAATAATACATCTAAAAAAGAAACATAGTTCTAGTCCTTGAGATTAAGAATCGATAATTACTATTGGATTGAAGGAGTTATCGATCATATGAATTTTTGAATACGAACATAAGAAATTCTGTTAGATGATCTTTCAAATTAAGAAAATCCTTTTTTAATCTATTCAAGTTAGAAAGTATATCGAATCTCGAACAAAACAATAACTTTTTCTTTTTCAAACTATTTATTTTTGTAGAAAATTCAACTATTTCAATTTATACAAGAAATATAAATCAATACTTCATGCAACAACTTTCAAAATCATATTATTTTCCTTAAAATTCATTTTTCAATAATAGACGACATTATTATCTTCTACACAAATCAATATGTGGTATTATCTCAATAAGTTTCATATAATTTTATCAAAAATTTTTACTAGTCTAAAAAAAACTAGTATGATCAATAATTCATGATTTCGTAATTTCCCAGTAAGAAAATGATTAATCAATTGGAAATTTTCCCTTGTGAATTTTTTGAACCAATCCAAACCAAAAAAATCTGTTAGACCAATGAACACTAACCGATTAGTTACATCACTATTAATCATTTTATATGAATGACTTCAAACAAACCATTTATTTCTTTTTCTTTTTTTTTGCAACCAGGCTTTTATAAATCTCCAGAGAGATATGTATATCATATTAAGGTCGTGTACATCTGTTAAATATCTAATACATGAATATGTCATACATCTACATATACCACGAAGGAGCATATTATTTATCTATCAATTGATTACTAATCTTCCAATTTTGAATTTTCTCACTTAACTTTTTCAGACAAATCTAAAATTTCTCTTCGAACAATAATTAAAACATAAATTTGATCATATTTGAAATATGTATTTCATATGAAACTATCATTAAAATGATCAGAATACTTATAAGTTGAATAATGGCATAGATATTCTAGTAAAAAGACTTATCAATCAGCGATTGACTAAACGTTTATCAACAGCTATAATTGAAGTCATACCCATCAATGTTTATTCACGCACGCACTAAGTCAATCATATCTATATATCATCGTCTCTCACGCCTGTCTCATAGACGATGATATGCATAAACAATAGACTCAATGCATGCTTGAATTCATATACATTAACGCGTTAGATATGAAATACATTTAACAAACTGATGATAAGAAAAAAAAAAAAAAACTTGACAAGTCTCGATCGCAATGACACATATAGTTCAAATAATAGAAGATCGTTAGCATTTATATGTGCAAATCTTGATTGAAACATCATAGAATTCTATGATTTTTTTACTAATCGAAAGAGAAAACTCCGAATCATCGAAATTTCATTAATCAACGATTCACCATCAATCAGATCAATTGGGATTTTCAAAAAACGATATTCTGAAGTTATTTTTCTTTCCATTTATGCAAGTCTATCATTACTAAATTGTTTTATTTGAGAGTTCTAAGACTTTAATCTGACAGGAACGATTGGTTTGTGATCATTCGGAAGAATAACTGAGCATAGACATCTCACCAAAAGAAAGTCGAATGATGATTGAAGTTCAAAATACTTTCAAGTCTATCAACAAATAACATCATTTTCGACACAGCATGAAAAGTTAATCTTGCCTAGCTGCTTTTCCGAATGATCGCAAGTCTCAAGAAGATGTTTATAACTCTGAAAGGAACAAGTTAAGACTATCGATTTTGTGTCAATTACATAGAGAAGAATTTTATCATTGAATTGATCCTATTAGGTCTAAATCGAAAATGAAAAACCGCATCAAATTATCGTTTATCAAAAATTTCGATCATTTTGAGTTTTCTCTCTCAAATACTTAGGCCAAACCAAAAGTTCGTAGAACGGTTTTAAACAACCTTGTCGGATAAGGTAACCTATTCAAAAATGAAAAACCAAATATACCATGTTGTAGAGCTTTTTGAGACGCGTCGAATGGTATATAATAAATCCTGTTTGCATAAGACTTTGAAGGAACTAGACTCAATTTACTAATAGACGACTACGCACCCATACACACCCTCACCTATGTATGATAGGTTACTGAATATTGTGATCGTTTGGATTAGTCGAAAGTATTTTTTCTCACATATAATTTTGCAGAGTTTTTGACGGGCTACAACCTCATATATGTAGCATCTCCGGTCATCTTGTCAGTGTGGGTATGGATGTGTAGTCGTCTATCAGTAAATTGAGTCTAGTTCCTTCAAAATCTTATGAAAACAGGATTTACTATATACCATTCGACGCATCTCAAAAAGCTCTACAACATTGTATATTTCGTTTTTCATTTCTGAATATGTTATCTTATCCGACAAGGTCCTTTAAACACCGTTCTACGAACTTTTGGTTTACCCTAAGTAGATATCTTATTACAGCTACACCTAATCCAATAATCTCTTCATATAATTTACCTGTTGGATTTGTTGTTGGTATTATTTCATTTTCAACTGAAATATAGAAATATAAATGAAAATTATCATCAAGAAGACAAAAAAAAGAAAAACATACTTGTAGTTGTTGCTCGTCTAAAACTATCAATACTTCTACTCATTGGTCGTGTTCTTAAACTTGAATACATTCTATTATTATTATTATTATTATTAGTAAAATTAAAATCAAATTTTCTTTTTCCAACATCATGATAATGATGAAATTTAAATATATCATGTTGACCTAATAATTTTTCATGATTACCAAATGGTGTTGTAAACCCATAACCACTTAACATACAATTTAATTTAATATTTGATTGTTTACGTGCTTGAAGTAATGGATCATCAGATGTTATTGTTGGTGATAATTGAATAACTTGTTGAGAATTATTTAAAAAATCATGACTTAATAATGAACCATTCATTGATATTGTACTTAATGAACGATTATGTATATCATTTGTTTGTCGTTCATAATATTCAATTGATGATGCTGTTGTTGTTGATAAAATATCTTTAAAACGATCATTTATTAATGGTTGAATTATATTTGAATTTTGTTGTTGTTGTTGTTGTTGTGATATATGAGATAAAGTATTTTTTTTAATATTTGTATTATTATTATTATTATCAAAATATTTTGCACGAATTTCATCATAACATGCATTTATATGATCAACTTGATCTTTATTATGTATTATTGATGGTGATGAAGATTTTCGTGTATGTTGTTCATTATCAATAGATGTATGTGTTGAACTACGTGTTAATTGTACTAAACGATTTGTAAAACGTTTCATTGGTGATGGATCACGTTTACGTAATTTTTTATTATTATTATTATTATTATTATTATCATCATTAATTAATTGTGTTGAAATTTTTTCATCATGATAATAATTATGATTATCATTATGTATTTTATTATCATGATTAATTTCTGTTATAATTTGTTTTGAATTTTCACGTGATTTTGTACGAAAACGACGAAGTACAGCTGGTGAATTTAATTTTGAACGTAAAACATTTATTAATGAACGTGATTTTTTTAATGATGGTGTTTCAGTATTTAAATTAGAATTATTTATTATTTCATTACCATTTGTTCGACTTATTGTTGATGATTTACGAAATAATGATGTTGAATAACGTTGTTGTTGTTGTTGATGACTATTACCATTTATATGATGACCATTAGTTTTTTCAGTAAATTCACAATTATTTATTGTTGGTGAAGATATTGGTATTGATGGTGTACCACGTCCACCAAGTGTTGCCCATTTTCTTGGCCATCGATGACTTGTTGTTGTACGTGGAGGTAATTGATTGGATACAGTTGATGTCATCGCACCTGTATCTGGCATCTGAAAGATCTATGAATTTATTAATATAATATAAGATAAATTATTCTATTTATAGAATTATAATGAATACTATATGAGATTATTTACTTCGTCGTTATAATAAACATCATGTCGTTTCTATCTATCTATATATATATCTATCATCATTTAAAGATATCATCGTATAGTGAAAAAAAAAGAAAGTCGATCGATAGGAAAATATATTTCTGTTTAATCTTTAAGAAATAGACGACGATACGATCATTCTGTTTACATTAGAATTGAAGATAAAAATGTGTTGTATGTTGTCTTTCTCGTATTATTACTACCGATATTTTGATTACGTAGAATAGAGAGAGAGAGAATAGAAATGAACTAACATCCAAAATGGGCAATCATGATAAAACATTGTGTTCGTCTGTCTATATTAATACTTTACCTATACTTCCAGATGTAGACAAGAAAAAAAAGAAAGAAAGAAAGAAAGAATGTATACAATGTATTTAAAAAAAAAATGCCAAACTTACATCATCTCTATGTATATGTAAAAGAGAAGAAGAAAAAAAATCGACAGAAGTTCACCAAATTAAATTTCATGTATGAAACAGAACGATAAGACGTAATTCAACGTATTGTTACCAGTCATATTGATGACATTGACCTCACTTCGTTTACTGAATACAATCAATCTCACTTACGTTTAGCAAGGAAGAAGAGAAACACAAAAATTGAATTTTTATAGTTGTCCGACTGCCCTCGATCGGTCACTATGTGTGTATGTATATATATATGTATATATAACAACGACAATGGGCAAATGCATCGATTTTTCTTCTTCTTCTTCTTCTCTTCCTTTCTCTCTCCTTTTTCCCGTCCCAATCTCACAAAGGCTACTGCTTCCGTATACTCATACGAAGCAGACGGTGGTACCCTCCATCTCATATAGCATTGCTCCAACATACATATATATATATATATGTGCATATCTGTCTGTCTAATGTATAAGAAAAAAAATAAATCGATCGAATCGAACGAAGAAGAAAAAAAAAAAAAAAGAATATTCAATCGAGTTATAATAAGAAGCAACACACACACACACATAAAAAAGAAAATATAGAAGAACAAGATGCTTCGTTCTATGTTCTGTTCTGTCTCTATTTCCTACCAACAAATACCAAATAGATTCAATTAGATAGATCGATGACCATCATCACTAAGTTCATTGCCAGGACGACCTTTGGCCGTTATTCTCATATATATATATATATATTCTTTGCATTGTTAGAATAGCAATATCTACAATGATGTAATAATATAAAATTGAAGTACAAGAAACAGAACAACTACTACTACAATAGTATAGTTACTTCACTACTGTTGCTTCTTATAGAAATGTATATATGTTATTTACCTTGAAAATGAAAATTTGTGTCATACTTACATTTTCATGATCTATGTATTAAAGTTTTTTATGCCAATATTTGTATGTCTCTTTGTTTTACATCAAAAGAATTGACAAGGACAAGTTATGTTCTATTTCTATACAAAAGAAGAAAAAAAAAAGAAAAAAAAGTCTACCAAAAGAATATTCTTTTTCTCAATCTAATAATTATTATCGATATTAAATGTAAGAAAAATGATGAATAAATAGGACAGCATACTGAATACGCACATACATATATATATATATGAATTTCTTTGTTCTCATCGATAGACAAGCTAAATATTTCTTGAGATATGAACAAAGCAGCACATCATCAATATATCGGTCGCGCTTATATAGAAAATGGAGAGAAGAAGAATGAACCATCGTATAGTAGTAAAGCTGAAGATATAAACATTTGTCTTCTTTTTCTCGTATCCGGACAATGATTGATCATTCAAGCCTGATAAATTGTAGTCTAACTAACTGTACTGATCAGAGACGTTCACACATGTGTATCACTAAGAACACGTAAAGATAGACTCGTATATACATTGATGACTTTGATAGATGATAGACGAATTAAATTTATTACGAAAAAAAAAAAACAAATCATATATGAATATCTTGATTTTGTTTTTTCATTTGATGTATCTGTTATAACTTTACCTTTTTTTTTTTAAGATTTGTACATTTAAAGAATTCTACTTATATAATATAAATTTCTATATATAGAAATACTTTTTTTTTTTTCTTGTATGAAATTTGTATTATAAAACTTTATATTTTAATGAAAGAAAAGAATAATAAAAATTCATTGAAATTTATTTGTATTACATATAACAAGCTATTGTAATATTAAGGTTAACATTATCTAGTTGTTCAAATAACATTCTATAATTTTCATTTAATAATTGAATTAAAACCTTAAGGATAGAGAAAGTATATTTATTGAATGAGGCAAAATTTTAACAAATATTAAAGTAAATTTAATGAAAAAAATCAATTATTTCTAATTGTGAAAAATAAAAAAAAAAAATGCCGTAGAGTTTATAGAAACACAAAAGAAAAAGAATCGTTAATGGAAGTATAATTTATTCATATAAACAATCTGGTTTTGTTTATATTAATGTTATCGAACAGCTCATTAATTTACTAATAACTATCGAATAAACTATGAATATCATATTTGAAAAATAGATAATAATTTGTTGAAAAGAAAAAAAAATTATTCTTTGTTTAAATAATCAATCAATTCTATGATGATATATCTATTGTATAATTAATATTTTAATTGTTGAATTATAATAAATATTTCAAAATTATTTAATATATAAAAATCTGTTTATGATTTGATAAATTAAAAAAGAAAGTTTTTTTTGTTTTTTTGTCTGGAAAACTAATATATTAAGATCTAAGAGAATATCTTGTGATCATATTCGAAATTATTATCGTTGATAATTTATCTCATTGTCGGAAAGAAAGATTTAGCATCCCAAAAGTACAAATTTTGACATGTCTGCATAACCCTGAATGTTCAATAGGATTTATTATACTTTTTTCATGATTATTTTTTTTTTATGTTTTACTCTACGTAGAGTTTTTTCTGTTGTTGTATCAAAAATTTTCTCAGTTATTTTACGTGCTAGAAAGTTTGGAAAAGTTTTAAATTGAGTTCTAAACTCTAAAAATTCGACTGACTTTTTGAAAATAGTGTTCTCTATTAATACTTGTAGCGATAGGTTTTAATTGCCTTATTAAAACAAATTCAAAATTTTTATCAGTAGATTTGGAGGAGAAATTTTTTAAAGAGTACATGAACAACTAAATATTTTGAATCGAAATTTTATATTCTCTGAAATCTTTAGTTAGATCGATTTGTTTTTTTTGGATGAAATAGTTAGTTTTCACAAAATTAAGTTTTTATTAAAATAATACGATGATTTCTGCACTTTGATTTTTACGCATCAAATAGAAGAATAAAGTATTGCGTCATGAAAAATTCATTGTGAACGTTCTTTTTTTATTAGTTACACTTAAGTCTGTTATAAATTTTTCGTTAATTTTATATAATATGAATATATTCGAAAATAATAATTGAAAAAACAAAAGATCTGATTTAACTGTTTTAGATTATAGATGAATTCATTTTAGTTAGTTTTACGTTTAAAATATTTGTGTTTCTTTTGATTGTTTTATATTTATTGATTTCTATTATTCATCGAATTTACAAAGTTTTCTTAGATTGAAATTTTAATAATTATTATTATACTTTTATTTTAACATATTGAACAAGATAATAGAGTATGAACTATTTCTATGATAAAAAAAAAGACATGCTTCATCATATATTTTTGCATTCATCAAGTATATTTGACTTGATCAGGCACATCACAGTAAAATTTTAATTGATACTGAAAGAAAGAATTGCATTGAATTGATTCCTTCTATTTTTTTTTCTTATGATTAGTAAGAAAATCAGGTCACGTAGCAATTGAATTATTCATAATATTTTACTAAGAATAGTAGTTGTACAAATATTCTCTGAATAATAATATATAGTATATCATATTCTTGTAATTAACATATTATCTTGAGAATAAAAATACACACTAAACGATACTCTTGATAATAAAAGCAAGTTATAATTTCAACTGTTGTTTGTCTATGTTTATATAGAGTCGAAAAAAAAAACTATGTTAACAAAAATCATTTGGAAATGTAATTAAATAAGCATTGAAGTATTTTCTTAATATCTCTATTAATTTTAATAGTTAGGGATTCAACTTCGTCTTATGAGGGAACGTTTCTAAATGACAAATCTTTTTAACCATCAGACCTATGTACATTAGATAGGTTTTAATGAATTATGAGTATGCTGCAAAGAGTTCGAACTAATAGCTTATTATTCTTGTCAATATATTGTATTTTTTAGCAGAATGCTGTAATCTTCTGAGGAAAACTGAGTGTCTAATTTAGACTTGAACTTTAGTATAAAGACAAGCCTTGATCAGGATCGTTTGTTGTCAAAGTATCAGAGTTTTTGATTTTGTCTATTTTCAAATAAGAGACAGTTGAATTTACCGTTGCAGATAAGCGATGTAAAAAAGCCATCTCTTAGGATAGAAGCGATCAAAAGTTTTGAAGATTTTATAATGAGCTATTTTCATATAGGCGAGTGTCTATGCAAAGTTTCACATCGAAATTCGAACCTCAGTTTTTCTGGAAAGGATCACAGTATTCTGTTAAAAAAATATAGCATCTTGACAGGAATAAAATATTAGTCTGATCTTGTCTTAGAATATTCATAGCTCATTAGGATCAATATGAAACACAGTGTCGACTCAAACGCGATTGTGACATCTAGAAATGTTCTTTCGTTAGAAAGCTCAATGTTTGATTCTTTACAAATTCATAGAAGTAAAAGCTAGAGTCTTGTGAAACAAAATTTTTCGTGTTTCAAATTCCATTCCGAAAATTTTACAAATATTCCGATTCTAAGTTTTTTTTCGAACTGTCCTGTTGACTGAAAGGTACCAGATTGTATAAAGTGATCGACACATTAGTCACTACTCAAATCCGTTATTGATGTGGGTGTAGATGTTCTATTTTCATCGACACCCATACCAAAGCCTATTAGGTTTTTTCTAGTTTTATTACGACTTTATTGTGTAGTTAATATAAGTTTAAAACAGTGGACTACAGTTGAGGTAATCCTTTCGTCAGTCAATTTAGCTTATAACTCGCATTGTAAACTGTTTTATTTATCTACAAACGGGACAATACGATGCAAATATATTACATAGATTGATTTTGTCATGAATAGATTTAATATCATATACAAAAAAAAATATTATTGAAATTTTACCAATGTTATTATGAGTTCAGTTGAAGTATTTTGATCATTAAATTAAGAGCATGATTAGGAAAACAAAAACAAAACTGATTGTATATTATGTAAAAAGAAAACCTTATGTATTTGATTAGATAAGAAAGACAACAGGAGAAATGATTAAAAAAAACTCATTAATGATATTGATGAATAACACAGAGGAATCTCTCATCATTTAAAAACATGAGTTTCGATATGAAACATTGCATAAATAAAATAAAGCTCTTTGCATTTCATTTAGTCTAAAGAAGAACGTAGATATTCAGTAATATCTTGATATAGTAAGAATAAATGTTCTACATCTATAATTCATTTTTGACATTATCTAGTATTAGTTATTTGAATTTTATAAATGAATTCTCATCTGAAAAATAATTTATAACTTGAAAAAGTTCCTTTGTAAATTAGAAAACATAAAATATATTATGATTATTTATTTATTAAACCGAAATAAAATATAAAAATGAGATGTTGATTGCTTATAAATCTTATCATTTGATAAAGCATGATCCCCATGGAAAAAATTTTCAAGAAAAAACCGCGGTTTCATAAACCGCGAAAGTCAGACCGTTTATGCGGTTTTTGAAACCGGCGAAAATCACGGTTTGCAAATACCGCGGTGAGAATCGAGAAAACCGCGATCCGAGCTGAGTTTTTGCAGGTCTAACCGCGTTTTTTCTGTTCTCACCGCGATATTACAAACCGCGATTTCAACCGGTTTTTAAAAGACGCATAAATGGTCTGACTTTCGCGGTTTTTCAAAATGCGGAACAAAACCGTGGTTTTTTTCTGAAAAATTTTTCCGTGGGTCTATTTCAAATTTTTATTATAAAAACAATACGGACAAAATTAATTAGATAGAATAATTAACTTGTTCAGTATTTCAATCGGAACATTTTTGAACTATTTTGTTTGATTCAATTTGAAAATTGATTGTTCACTTAATAAGATTTCTAATAAAAATCAGTATATTATTGTGAAAATAAAGAATTAATTACTATATTAATTCTTTATAAATCGAACGTAATAATTATTATATCCAATTGAATTTCAAATCTAATACTAAATATAATATAATTATGATAAATAATAAAATAATGAATCAATTTTATTCTAAAATTTTTCATTCAAAAAATGATCAATCATATTTTAATTATTTTTTTTTTCTTTTCATTAAGATCAATTATTATTGATCAAATTTTATTTTGTATATTAAGTTGATTCTAACATGAAAATAAAGTACTATATAATAGATTGATTCATATAGTTCGAAAAGTGTTTGTTGGGTCATGATAGAATAACAACATATACTTGAATCTATCCTCTACAGATTGATTATAAAATTTTTTAAAGTAGATTTTGATAATGTGATAGTTATTCTATTCGTTGTATAGATTATATGAATTAAATATTCAATCAAAGTCTTCGATATTTTGATTTATGTGAAAGAGAAAAATAAATGATTATTACATCATTCACAAGAAAAGAACAACAAAATATTTATTTTTTTCATAAAACAAAAAGAAGAAATACTAAATTCTAAGTTTTTTAATATACTGTTATTTGACAACTATTATCTTTTTTTATTTTTTTATTTTGATAATCCCTAAAAACATAAATAATTTTTGAATATTATGATAAACCAAAAAAAAAAACAAATTTAATTTTATATTTTTTTTACCCAGAATTATCATTGCATCGTTTTCTGTTATTTTTCTTAGATATTACAGAATTATCTAAATAGATTTTACATTATTCGAATTTTATTTATTGTTTTACACAAAATTCTATTTTGTTCATATTACATAGGAGATTCTACTATTTTATGTTTAAGTATTTCGTTCTCTAAAATATAATATAAATTTTCAACAAATTTTAATCATAAAAACAAAATAAAAGTCATTTACCATTAGTAAATCTAAGAGATTTTGCATATAAATTTCCAATAGATAAACATGAAAACAGAGTGTCTTATCAAAATCTTGAAATAATATATAAAATTCTTGTTGAGAATATTATGATCATAATTTATTGATACATGGAAATTTATTCATCAAGTAGAATATATTATGGTGTCCTTTAATAAAAGGATTATTGATTTGCTCTAACTTTCGAATCAATATTTTAATAGTTTACTTCGCTATATAGTATTTTTTTTAATGTTCACTTGATTAATACATTTGAAATTTATTTTTGTCGAAAGAAAATAATGCACAAGTTAAAGTTTTTTTTTAATTTATTATCCATTTTCAAAAAACAAAAAAAAAGAGCAGTGGGTATTTTTCTAATAACTTTCGATAGAAAGGCAGATACGGTTCTGCTGTTTTCACTATTGGAAAGAGGAGATGAAGATGCATCGAATCGTATATTAAAGACTTTTTCCGGCTATTTTTCAATCGGGTTTTAGCAAACCAATCTACCGCACTCCGGTCACAATAGGGAATTTCCGATTTTTAGGAGTACATCAGAATCGTCAATTGAGGATCTATAAAAATGCGCATGGGATAGATTTTTTAATTGTAACGTTCAGGAGTTAAAGACATTTTACTATGGGCTTCTACTTAGTTTTTCGAGAAAATTCACTGCACCAATCAAGTTCGAACGTACATATTTTTTTGGGGTGTTTTAACAGAAACTTTTAAAACACATGACAGTAAAATCTGTAATATATGATTCGATGTGTATTCATTTTTTGTTTTCAACGATGATGTCCACTGATAATCAATAGTGATAAATAGTGGATAAAATCATAAATTTGAAATAATTAAGAAGTCAAGGGCAATAAAACGAATGCAATTTTGAAAAAAGAAAAACGAATCTTTTGGCTTTTGATAATTAGCAATTTCAAGAAATTCTTTTATTATTCGATTTTGTTTGCGAAATAAATTAGAATGTAATCGTAAAAGATTTCAAATTATTTCAAAAATTTGAATATATGATTTCTAAATAGACTCTTAAATATTTCTTAGTTAAATATATAGAAAACAATATTTTTCGTATTACTTAAATATTACCTGTATTATTGATTGTTTCACTTAAACATTCTGAATAAATAATAGGTAATAATGATTGATGTTTTAATAAATTTTCTTCGACAATATGTAATATAATTCTAAAATAAAATAGATAAAAATTCATTTTTTTTTCTTAGGTTCGTTTCTCTCAGAATTGATTTTGTATGTAAATAAAATATCTAATCAATTCGATATTATAAAATATTTTCATGACATATTCATCGAACAAGAGTTCAAAATGACTCATTTAACAAATGGCAAAATTCTATGAAGCTTTATTTAGATATATTTTTTGTTTCTATTTGAAAGTGTATATGTTACATTCTGTTATTTGTTTTTATCCTATATCCTCACTGAGAAAAAATGTTCCTTATAATACTTTATTTCGAAGACTCTAAAAGTTAAAAACTAGTATCACAGAAGTGATGTATAAAATAAGCTTTTTTTTTCCTTTACTCTATAACTTAAATGAGAATCTGTTTCCAGTTCTAACGCTACAATAGTTCGGTTCTAGGTCTTATATTTTCTATGTGATGAAAACTGACAGTTAACCGCGGTTTTACCGGTCCGGTTACCGGCTCCTTGACATAGAAAAAACTGCGATTTACCGCTAAAACTGATCCAGTTTTTCTGACATGGGTCTTCTCTGATGTATAATTCTATTATTCACTATAAAATGTATTGATTAATTGAAATTAAAATGAAAAGATGCAAAAATAATAAACGACATACTATCAAATTGAAAATTTCACTGTAACCTTTCTGCTAGAATTCCAATATATCAAGAAAATTTTATATTATATGAAGATTTCTAATTCAAAATCGATTTTGAGGTCGAAAGAAAGAAAGTCTTCAATCAGAACTTCCTCAAGTGTATTATTAGTGGTCTTTAAATAAATTATATCTTTCGTTTTGTTTTCATAAAGAATTTTATATAATATAGTTGATTTTAAATTTGTTGATATATTAATTTCAATTAGTTTACGATTGAATAATAATGTACAATGATATATTTCAGGTATCTATTTATAGTATAATAATAGATTAGATAGAATTTATTGTCTTATTTTGTTTTTATTTAATACAAATCTCAACATTACATTGAATTATTCATGAAATATTATGATTCAGAGAAGAAGGAATGATAGCCGTTCGTATATTATCGATTTTTAATTTTATGTCAACATCATGATAATATTTTGTTGGATTAGACTTAGATCGACCTAAATAAAAATTTTATTTGAAAAAAAACAAAATAATAGTATATTGACTTATTAAAATACCTTCGATAAAATGATTTGAATATATTATAGGTGAATTTGGATCAACATAATATATTTTTCCATCTAATTGAAGATGAGCAGGTCGAATAGCAAGATACATTTGATCGAAACGATACATGTTGAACATTTTTCGTGATGTTAAACCATGAATTTCTTTTTCAATACCTAATGTATATATATATATATATCTTAATTGAGAAAATATTATTAATGAAAAATGCCAGATGAAAAATATTTTATTATAAATACAGGTTTTTTTATGATTACAAAGTTGTTTATTCGATTGATCTTATTTTTTTAAAATCATTTTGACACTTAAGTGCAATAATCAAATTTGTTCTAAAACAATTTTTGATTAATACAAAAATTTAATAAAAATAAAATTAATTATAATTACTGAATAAGTTTATCATTATAATATTCAATCATATCAACAAAAAGTAGATTAGCAAGTGAACTTTCATTTTTTTTCTTTATGTACAATCCGAAATGAATGTGGACTATAAATATATTTATTTTCAGGTGTCTTTGCCAATAAGGTTATTTCAACATATTCACCATACACTTGCAAAAAAAGACTAATAAAATAAAACATATTGTAGTTTTTATTAATACAAACTCTAAAACGAATGTCTTTTTCAAAATAATCTTTGACAGAACGGATTTTAGTCTTTGCATTTACAACATTTAGTTCGTTTTCATATCGTACACGAAATAATGATTTCACAGGATGAACCAAGTAACCACTAGGAGTAATATCTATTTTTTCTTTTTATTGATGAAATAATACTTACTTCTTTGTATTGTCTGTTAAAAAGAAAAAAAGTGGTCTCGGCCATTTTGGCAATAACTCAAGAAAGGAAAGAGCTAGAGAGCTGCGATTTTCACCAGTCGAAAGAGATGACACTAGGGCATCTATTTCTCCAATATTGTATAAGACGAAGTCATTTTAAAATCAATCATTTCTGCAAAACATTGCAAGAAATATATGAAAATGTTCTGTCGTTCCGATGAAATTTAGGTTTTGATATGTGATTTAGATAGAGGAGCCTCAGATCTATAGTTTAAGATATAATTTGAATGATCATCTTCACGCATTGTAATATTAAACAAATCAAATTCTTTATTTACATCCTTGAAAAGTATGAATTTCTCTTAATTTTTAAGCAAATTTTCTTACTTTTTATCAAAATTTCATATGAACGACAGGTAATTTTTCTGCCTTTTTTGGTGTTTTGTAAAAATGTTTGATTCTAAAATGACTTCGTCTTATACAATATTGGAGAAATAGATGCCCTAATGTCGTCTCTTTCGACTGGTGGAAATCGCAGCTCTCTAGCTCTTTCCTTTCTTGAGTTATTGTAAAAATGGCCGCGACCACTTTTTTTTTAAAAAGACAATAGTAACAGCTTGAAAGTGTTTCCTCATGTCATGATCATCTATGATATCCGAGCAAACGAATTACTTTACTTAACAATGATGACTCTTCAAGATTCTCTTTCTCTCTTGTAGTGTAGATACCTTTTAGCTTTTATTTTTTTGAATAAATTCCAACGCTAGGCGAACTTTTTTTTCACGCTCTTGTCTTGCACAGGACTTTCTTTTCATAGACAAGCGCTTGAACGCTTGCATGAATTACATGTATATCTCAGTTAATTCATGTATTGAAGCATGAAAATCGTACCAATGGGGATAGGAGTGAGTGTGCAGAAAGGAGAACAACAATGATCTTCTGCTATGAATATTGTCAGAAATACTGAGAAGAAAGGAAAGAGAACAAAAAAAGCATTTTTTTCTCTTTCTTTATTCTTGAATGTTCTATGTTGTCCGCCTCCGAGAGGTTTCATCTACACTCACACATCACAACCACATCCACAAATTTGAAATGATTTGAAGCAAACAAAAATGTACGATTCAGCTTTGTCTTTTAAAGTTGATAAAGTCTTTCGTAAAAAAAAATGTAAGAAGAAAAAAGGGCGATAGTCATTTTGGATTCTAAAGAAGTCTCTTTCTTCTCAAAACATTAGTAAAAGAATACATAACATGAGACTTTCATCGTATCCTATTCAATTCGAAGCTCTGTTACTATTTCGACTGTGAGAAATTGAATCATGTTTTTTAGAAACTTTAGTAACCGACTCTTGTATGACATAATTGTATCGCTTCGTAGAATTTCGGCAGGTTTTACAGTACTTTTTCAGACAAAACCACGCATTTCTTTGTTCTCAACTTTTAACTCAAAAAAAACTAAAACGAATACTTTCAAATTGTCATAAGTCATTCACAAAGTAACTTTCAGCTTACAATGCTCTCTTGGTTTTTCTCATAACTTTTTTCAAATCTGTTAGCATCCTGCAAACAGATTTGACTTTTAGTGCCCACGATTTGTTCCCTGAGGTTATTTAATCAAATTATGACTGTCACTTGGACAGAATTAGTTATGCCACAAAATGACACCACCATAGAAAAGTTAAATATTTTAGTCTAATGTTCGTCTGATTGCTTGTCTTCTGAGCAGCTCGATGAAGTGTTTCTGAATCCTATGTCATGCAACTATATCTAGTTTGTTTATTTCAAATCAAAAACGGATATATGTTGATGACGTCTTATTAACACTTATCTTTGTCCAGCACGATCGAACTTTAGACATGATAGAAACGAAAACCATTCGACACTTTTTTTATTGATAGCTCTATCCTTTGATGAACTCGAAACACTGCGTTATATTTTCTGCTGACATAGCTGAGTCAAAACTGGATGAGTGTGAATAGATCACTGGTATCATTCATTACACTGTAATCCTCAAGAGCGATTCTAGTCAGTTAGCATTGCATGACTCAATTGTGCGACACCGTTGACAACTAGTCGACCAAGAATATCACCGACAACTGCTCCGATCATGCTACCCGCTAATCCCCCAATCCATGGTACAGCCATGGCCGTGCCAAAGGTCATATAGGTGAGAATTGCTTGAATAAGAAATGCAAAGACGCCAATAGTAAAACTTTTGACCACGCTAGCTACAGTCTTGTCAAAGAATTCTTGCCGTGTCATTTGATTATGTTTTAGCTGATAAATGCGATAGGCAAGTTTGAGCATTTCAACGGCAATAAATGCAATTCCATTGCCGATACCATCTGATAGAATCGTGCAGAATTTTGATGAACACGATGGTAATATCTTTTCGAGCAATTCACTAAAACAAATATATTTGACATAAAAACGATATGTTGTTATTACTGCAATATCGTTTCTAACCTAACGATTTCTTGACCAATGGCTGGAATTATCTTTGCGCGTACCAAAGAATCGAAAATGCCTTTCATCAGAGCCAGAAGATATTTGCTAATATTTTCTACTAATTGTGTCACCTGTTCACTGTACCATCGACCTGTTTTACACCAATAAGCAAGACATTCGCAATTTCTTAGGATTAAACTGTAGCCATGTGCTTCATCGTCGTTCCATGACCTTTCGGGATCGTTGGGCACTATAAGAGAACCACCAAATTTGATTTGTTCAAGAAGAAGTTGAGCATTGTCGACGACGATTTCTGGAGCAAGGCATTGTGTCGAATAGGCAGTGCCCGCTCTTTTAAATCGAGCATATCGAGATCCATAGACGACACGTTTCAAGACACAACCCTTCCGAAATCTTTTCAGGTTTACGACTTGAACACGAGCGCGGCTCACCTTATGGCTACCATCGTACGTGTTAAATTCTAGTACTTGAGACTCATCGGGATCATGTTGATTGACAAAGATTACGATACCATGATGTTGATGAAAAGGTGATGACCATATATATAGATGGTCTCCAAACCAAATATCTTTCGGTGCAATCGTGTGAAAAAGTGGCATTTTATCGGCGTTATACTGAAGAGAAGCTCGTTGATTTTTATTCAATGACAAAATGTTGGTTTATTCCAACCTAACCGACCAATAAATTCTTTTTATCGCTCTCGACATTAATGTGTGATGCTTTTTTTCCTTCTCCGTTCGTTGTTATTGCTCAATAATGTAAGAAAAAGAAGAAGATGGGAAAAAATGAAGAGATCCATGAGAAAAGAAAAGAAAAAGAAGTAAAATTGACAACTAACATGTAGTGCAAAAGTAAGTGTACAAATATTAGCCTCTATTTCTCTTCAATAAAAGGATACTGAAAGAAAATTCTTTTATCGAAAAATAGAGCCTTTTCTCCTCTTTCGAATCGTATACAACATATTTTTATAATATATTCACAGACGAGACAAACTAATAGAAAAGAGAAGCATCTTTAAAAAGCATCCACACTTTTTGTGAGATCCAGAAAAACGTCGCAAAATGTTGATGTTGATGTCTGTTCGAGAAATACGTTCTGAAAAGACTATTCCTTTATCAGTTGATAGGAAATTTTCTCCTTTTTGAAACAGTATGTGATTTATATTGATCACACATTTATAAATGAAGTGGCAGAACAAAAAAACAGAAACATTTGCACAATAAATTTTGTTAAGATTCATGAGAATGAATTGCGTTATATTATCATGTCGACATATAATGGTCCAATAAAATTCTCACTGTTGTCTGAGAAGAAAAGCAAAGAATATCAAAAGTTGAACAAAATTTTCAATGATAAATTATGGTGTTAATGAAAAATCGAAAATTTGAGTTATGTATTTTTTGTTCGTTCTCTTGGACTTTCGTACCCCATACATTTGTCGGTTCTGGGTGCTAATTTTCGACTTCTTGAGGGTGTAAATGACAGGAGCATTTCGATGCTATAATAGAACAGTCTACAGAAGAAAGAGAGAGTAGACTATAAGATTTTAAAACATTTTGAATGCCAAAATCTGCCTTTTCTCCTTGATAAAAAAATAACACAATAAAGAGAATTATGATATTCAAAAGAACAAAAAAGACATCTTTTAAAAGTTACACACGAAAGAAGTATTCGATATGTATATTGTCTTTGTATTGATCATTAAATTTTGACTGAAGAACGTGTCATGCATGTAAATTTGCTTCTTCTTGTACTTGTTGATACGATCATTCAGATGGCAAGTTTTCTCTCTCTCTGTTTTTTATTCCAGTCTACTTCCAGTATAGCATATATATGTGGGCTAGAACGTACCCTCAGGGCCAGTAGCAAGTCTTCTTTATTTGATTCAAGACTGAAACTAAACGAACTCATACCGTTCATGATTGTTAACATGTGATTGTTTTTTTCTTCCAATTCAGTATGATAAAGTTGTCGAATTTGTGACCATTTTGTTCGATAATCTTCATGTTCAAGCGCAGATTCAGCATTAATATTTGCTACTACATTTGCATTTACAACTGACAATGATGAATCGGCTGATCTTTCAAGACCAGCAATACTTACAGTTAATAACATTTTATCAAGACACATTAATTGTGCATATGGTAATGCATCTTCTGAAAAATTTCGAAAATTAATAGCTAAAAACAAAGGTTTTTAAAACATATGAGTAAGTATTATTTCCTAAAAATAAAAAGATTGTTAACTATTCAATAAACCATGCTAGAACTTCATCAAGACTTTAATTAACAATTGACATTGTTTGTTGGATCACTCTATTCACACGAGTTGAGAGAGTTCCCATGAAGGAACCAAGTAATCGAGACACTTGATAAAATTTTATTGGATGTCTTTTTTACTAATTCAATGTACCACTAATTAAAACTATCAATCAGAAAATTTTGGGGTATGGATATGGATCTTCTCGTCTCGCTAACACCCAAGCGAAACAACAAACAATAATGTAAATTCGATCGATAATCGAATTATCTTTTTTTTTCTCTTTGATGTCGTTAAGAAAATATTGTTTAAAGTATTTTTACTGTTCTTCCCAAATCAATCGAGTGTGTAGTTGAAAATTTTAAAAAGCTAAAAGAAAGACAAGAACACAAAAAATATATATAAATAGAGTGCAAAATGTTTACATGATGTAAAAGTAATGAACGAAGCATTTGAAGAAAAACATTTTAAACTTCATAAACAGAGTTAATAAAGCTTGTTAAAAAGAACTTTTGTGAGATTCCACAAACGAGCTCTAGATTTCTACAAAAGATCCCATTTGAACGCATGAAAGAATTTTTTATTAATTATGTGCAATCGACTAGACGATCTTGCCGTTCAATTTGTTCTTTTTTGAAAGATTTCAAAATTCATCTCGTTGCTTTTGATTTTCTTCAATTAGTCATGTTTCAATCAATTCTAACAACCATCAAGTTCCATTTCTCAGAATTATACTCTAAGCAAAAATATCAAACATTGTTTACTAAATTCTAATTCAACAATATATAGTTTTTGTTATAAAAAGCAATGTTTGAGTTACAAAATTTTGCGTGGAATCTATTTTACTTGAGCAGATACGTTATTGAATAATAATTTTTATAACACAGAGAATGTTCTTTTCAATAATGTATTTGAAGTTAAATTAAGTAGTTATCAATTTTTCAATGATAACAAAATATTTGTTTTGTCTAGTTTCTAGAGATAGTAGCTCATGTTCTTGTAAATAGATAGATTTTTTTTGAAAAACTGCATCGATCGAATATATTGATTCTAAAATCAAAGATTGATTTAAAACTGTTACAAAAAAAAATAGTTTCAGTAGTTTTTCATGCCTTCAAATTTGAACAATGTGACTTGCAATATTTGAGAAATATTAACTTTTGTAAACTACTAGAAAATTAATTTTAGAGATGTGTACATTTTCTTTTCCTAATTTATCCTGAAATGGTACAAAATTTATGCAGGAGAAATGGCTCTTTTCGTTCCCATAAGAGAAAATATTCAATTAAATTACAAGTCAGCAACATGGATTAAAGGTATTTGACGTTGATACAAAGCATTGTTTTTTGTATAATAAAAACATGACAAGGACATCTAGATTACAGTATAAACACATTACTTCATAAGGAATAGAATTTTTGCATATTTTTGTTATTCAAGACAACGTGTTTGAATGAATAATATTTACCTGTGCTTTGTTTTTATTTTGTATTTTCACTTCGTATTATCATTCATGCTCTTTTGACCTAACAAGCATGGAGTGAATGAAAATTTTCCTTATTTTTTTTATTGTATATAGATATATTCAATACAAATAACTATTTTTAAAATGAATAATAGATCGAATGCACAAGCTATTAAGTGTCTGATAGAAAGAAAATAAAGTTTGTATCACGCTTGGCGTTCATTTAAAAGCGCATTGTTTGATTTTCAGTGATTGTCATTATTGAACCGCTACGGTCTTTTCCTGTCTGATTAGCAGTGTCTTGATGGTTATGGTCCTCATTAAGATTAAAAGAAGGCATCATACGTGGTAATGCACTTAGAGCAGAATATTGTATTGTGATCGGTTTGGCATCGGCATTGGCAGGTTTATATGACAGCTCAAAAGTTCCATTGTCGTTCTCATAATCGACTCCGTTTCCATCTTGTTCTTGTTTTTCTCGCATTTGTTGGACAAGATCTGCAGCAGCACGATTTGCAGCCGCTTCCCATTTTTCGCCATGAGCTGTAATAATACATACGATATTATATTTTCTTGGAAAAAAAATATTAAACCGATCATACCTGCTATATCAAGTCCTGTAAGTTCATCGTCATGCGCTAATCGAATACCAATGGTAAAGTGTAATGGAAGTAGAATCCCGGCTGTACAGACAGAAGCGAAACCTCAAAAAGACACAAAACAATAGATAATTAATAGAACTCAGTTTCACATTTACCAATAGCAGTAAGAATGCCTGCAATTTGATACCAAAGTTGAATCGGATGTCCGTAAAATGCACCATTAGCACCACCACTTGAATTAACCCATTTTTCAGCAAATAGTCCGGTCATAAAAGCACCAGATATACCACCTACGAAGACAATTTTACTTATTTTACAATAGACAATATGACAAAAAAAAGTTTACCGCAACCATGAACAATAGCAACATCTAGTGTATCATCGAATCGCATATATCGCTTGAGCAACAAAAGACAATAGACAATGGCCGCTCCAATAATGCCGATAAGTAATGCCCAGCCAGGTTGAACAAAACCACAAGCTGGTGTAACAGATACAAGACCAACAATAGAACCCGTACAAGCGCCTGAAATTGATATGTGACCACGTATGGCATCGATCACTACCCATGTTACCAATGCTGAAGCAGCAGCTGTATTTGTATTGACTACAGCCATAGCTGCTACATCACTAGAATAGAAAAATGTGTTTGTTTTAATTTGTTATTTGTTTTTTTTATAGTTTACCTGGCAGAACCTGCAGAACCCCCATTGAATCCGTTCCAACCTACCCACAAAAGGCACGTTCCCAAAATTGTAAACGGAAGATTATGAGCAGAAGTACTGTATGGATCATAATCGTGTCGTTTTCCTAAAATAATCGACGCTGTAAAACCAGATACACCCGAAAGGATATGAACAACAGTTCCACCAGCAAAATCGAGTGTTCCCAAAGTTTTCAACCATCCATTGCTACCCCAAACCCAATGTGCCATTGGATCATAGCAGACTGTCGTCCAAATAAATATGAATATCATATATGGAATCATTTTCATTCGACCAACAATAGAACCTGAAATGAATTATCAAAAATCATTTATTGTCATTGAACTATTTTACATACCAGAAATAAGAGCTGGTGTAATAATTGCAAATGTACACTGATACATACAAAATGTCAATAGAGAATATGTAGGACTATAGTCTATATTTTCGACTTCACCAAAACGTAAAACTGACCAACCGAATGATCCAAAACCTTTGCTTACAGGTGGACCAAATGCAAATGAAAAACCAATGAGAACCCATTGTACAGTTATGATACCCATACAAATAAACGATAAAAATAGTTGATTTAAAATATTCTTTCGATCGACCATACCACCATAGAAAAATGCCAGTGCAGGTGTCATTAATAATACTAATACGGTTGATGTTAACATCCAAGAATTGTCACCTGTATCAAAAGGATTGATATAACCATTAGTGGCTGTTGCAATATTAGTACTATCGTTCATGATTCTAGTTCAATTGTTTCACTTAAATTAAAAAAAAAATCAATGAGAACCGAAGAAATATTTTAGATTTGAATTTTGTCCAGTAGTAAAAACAACCACCCGAATACTTTTCTATATTATCAACAGGAGAAAAATGGTCGCTTAAGATATTATCGGTGTCATGCACGAATGATGAGAAGAAAACGTCAATAAACTAAATAATAAGCAAATACAAGGGTTTTTTTTTTCTTACTGTATAAACATATTCGTCTAGCTGTGCACCATTGGATTAATGATTGTTTTGATTGGACACTTGATACTGATAGTGAGTAAAGCAATGTGTTTGGATTTAGACCTGTCACTTTCATTCACTACGTAATAATAAAATGAGTCTCGTGATTGAAAACCAAGTGCAATATACAACAAAGATTTGTTTTTGCGTTGAAAATAATGTCATTGCACAAGTGATAAAACATATAAAAGGTTTTGTGTTTATTTTGTGTAAGATTGTTGTCGTCAAATAATCATCAATTCACAACTAAAATTGATGATGCATAACGAGAATCATTTGACAATAGAAAAACGAAATATTCAATGTGTGAATAATTTATTATATATATATATATATGTATTGCTTCTTAAAACCCTTTGAATATTTCGGTCCTGAAGAAACATGAAAGATATGATATGCGAAAAAGCAAAAGGAAGGAAAAAAAACGAGAAGGTCAACAAGAAAGAAAAGGAAAGCAAAGAAAAAGAAACCTGTAGTAAGATACAAGAACAGAATAGGACAAAAAGAAGAAGCGAAGAGCAAAAAAAGAAAAAAAAAAGAATGAACAGAAACAGACGAAGAGATTACATTAATACCACAGTAGAAAGACTCCAGGAACAATGCGAAACATTCAAAGTCATGTTTATCCAGCTTCAACACAAAGTTTTCTAATCCCATGTGATGATAAAACACCAAGTTGCTAAACACAATATATATCAAGATAGAAAATAAGCCGTTTAGATCTACGTATGCAACGAACATGTGACATTCGTTTCTTCCATTGAGCTCTATGTGTATCAAGTAACTATCTCATGATTTTGTAAGAGCTTTGCAGTATTTCACACAATATTTATAGTATATATCATTCAATCATCGTTCTCCATAGAGAGACAAAAAAGAAATGTGTCTCCCCAACAAATACATCAATAAACACGTTTCGGTGACTTGTAGTAACAATGATTGATGCTCTTTCATTGTGAATTCGTGGAAAGTGAATTAGTGAAGCAAGGCAAGCAATATGTAAATGTTATATTAGGTTTTTTCTTATCAAAGGTCAAATGTGAATTTATGATACAGTTCAATTATTTTCTTTATACTGATTCTAGCACTTGAAATAAATCAATTATCCAATTGAGTCACTTTACTCGTCTTCTCAAAAGCCTCAATACGTTTGCATGAAATGCTTTTTTTTTAACCATTTTTCTGTGAAGAAATTCTATCAAGTATAAAAAGTTCTTCTAATTGTAATTTTCAACACGATATATAGCTGAAATAAAACGAATAAGGTGACCCTATTGAATTTTTGTTTCTCACAATAAATAACGGTGTTATTACGAACTCACATCAATCGTTTATACAAATTAGTGATGAGATGTGATTTTGAGTAGCGTGTATTGATTATCGGTTCAGCTGCATTCATATCTCACACCCATTCATTTAAACTGTCATTTTAAAAAGGGTCACCATGCATTTTAAGTAAAGAAAAAAATATGAATAAGAGTAAGAGGACATAAAATAGTAATCTACATATTCATACATTTTCTCTTCTTTGTTCTTCAAAGAAAAACAAAACATAAATAAACAAATCATACTTCTCCTATAAAATGAAAAAAAAAACATGACTTTTCATGAATTTCGTATGATAAATATGAAAACAATGGTAATTCATGTAATGAAACGGGCATAAAAATTAATGCATTTCAATTTCATTGACTAAGATGAATAGATTAATCAATGAAATTCAATGAAAATAATTTTTAATCAAAATCATGAAATTACATTGATGAAAATGAACATTTTAATCAACAAAATTGACATAAATCGATTTTTATGTTTGTTTCATCATTTAAATACAACTTTCTTTTTATTTATTTAAGTTCCTAGGCTTATAGAGAAAAAGCAACGATATAATGATTAATTAAACCAAAGTGAATATTTCTTCCTTGTTTATATCAAGAAACTAAAAGTGAATAATAATTGAAAAATTATGGATTTATGTATTATGTGTACATGTATATTGAAGTACAAAATGAAAATCAGTTTTAATTAAAATATTTTAATCTAAAATAAATTTCGTTCTACCATGAGCTCCGACATATGTGTTATTTAAAAGTTATATTCATCGAAGTTGTTTGGAACAAGTTCAACAAGCAAAACTTGTGTCTTTCGATGTTAGGGTGGGTGTAAGTATATCGGTGGAAATATCTCTTTATGAATACTCACATCCACACCTCAAAAGTGAGAACTATTGCACATCAACAATATTTCTAATAATAATCAAGTTCTATTACTTTAGAAGTCTGGTATTAAACAGAACGTGTTATCTATACAAATAAAATATAGTATTAAAAATTTATTTTTCATGACTATATACTTCGTTTATTGATAAGATAGGCTAAGGATAAGTGACTATAATGAAAAGTGTCAGCAATGATATGTTGAAAGAATGAATTGCTAACTAATTTTACATTTAGGACTCTATGAAATGTAAATGGAATCAATAAGCTGAAACTACCTAGTCGCTATACTTATTTGCCTATGATTTTGTAATTATTTCAGAAGATAATAATTTGTGACAAGATTGGCTGTATTTGTTGAAGTTTAATTTTAGTCTAAATTTCTTTTTTTTTAAAATATTTGTTAATATTCTTCATATTACAGTAATACGTTGTTTCTTGTTTATTCCATCTATTCATTCAACAATGACTAATAACAAACGTTTACAAAAGAAGAAACAATATTCAATGAAATAGAAGTTAGTTATGTGTCTTTCTATTCTATGAACAGTCATAGTCATGTTCGAACAAGAAATATTTTGATCTATGAACGCATCTTCATACATTTTATATGAAGTATATCATTGATGGATTCTGTATAATGTGAAATTCTTTTGATCAACTTATATTAAAAAGTTGTCTTAACTGAGATCTTAAACATATCTTACACAGAAAATAAATATATAGCTGAATATACATTCTGATTTAATACATTTCTATTAAAGTTTTTTATTTTCGATTTTTCTATATGGACAACCAGTGTTTTTCGGTAAAATATTTTACAAAAATGTAGAGAAACAAAACAAAAATGGAGGATTTCTACATAGTATTTTCTTTGTTAGACATGATTTTCTAGTTGTGTAATACAAATAAATATGTTAAATAGTGTAAAATATGATCAAAAAGAAACTTTTTGAAAAAAGTAGCTGAAAATACATGTTTTCCTTTTCATTTTGATTCACTTAGATAATGGAAAATGCTAGTCATGAGTTGATTAAAACAATTTTTAAGTAAAAAAAACTATCGACACTTCTATCAATCTTGAAGATGAGTTTATCTTCGATAGTATCTATCATCGAGTACGGGACTTAGTCTTCAATCAGAAGACTGTTACTACTTGATGTATGCATCATTTTGTAACATAACAGCTTTAAGCATGTCTTTACATATTTGGTAATTTCTTTTGGTTTTCAATTTTTTTTACATTATGAATGATGTAAGTAACACATAAAATGAGAAATATGAGTTGACGAATTCAGAAGGCATAAAAACGAGTGAAGAGACTAGATTGGACGAGATGAAAGGGTGTGAGTATTGTTGAAGAAGAGAAGCGCATCTACAGCCACACCCTCGAGTGTCTCAAGCATCCATGGAAATTTGACTGATTTCATACTATTTCATTTACGACAAGGAATTCATTTACATCATTTTACAGATATGTACTTCGTATATACGTACCATTCATTAATGAAAAGATTAACATATACTATGATTGAAAAAAGCAACATATCTAATTTTCTTGTTGAAATGAATCAATCTTTCAACATATTTTCAAATATCAAATAGCATAACTTATTCTTTAATATAATGATAAAATAAGAATGGAAGTATTATATACAGATTATACTTTCAATATCTTTGTACATATGAATTATCCATTATTGATTATCGACCTTTGCCAATTTGTCATTTACCATCAATCACTTTGTTTTGTTTTTAATTTCTACAAAATTATAGATTAATGTAAATAATTTTGATGATTGCCTTTATTTTCTTGATGATCGTCTTAAACAATTAACAACATTCATCACTAGAATGGATGATAATAAAAAGAATTTATCTTTCATTGACAATAAGATGAGTTGATTATTTATGATTAATTCGGCGTTTGATTTTGTTGCTTTACAAGTGAAGAGAGAATATGCCGTTCAAGATTAGCTATGCCGCATCTATCCTTACTTTCACTTCCACTTATGAAGGTAATGACAAATATTTGTATAATTAGGACGTTTCTTACTTATTAGTGATAAATGCTTGGTTTAACCATTTGTTATTAATCGTTGAATAATGATCTTAATTAGTTACCGTTTTGTTGTAAATAGCACTTAAACGAAAGTGGAAAACGTTTTCTATTGAAATACGAATGGGCTATTTACATTTCTTTCGTTAGAATTAATGATCATCACTTGCCAGACAATAATGTTACTGAGTGAATGATCACAGAAAGGTAATAAATATCTGATAATGTAACTGTTGATGGAAGTAATTTGAGATTTGTAAGTGAGCGTATATCCTAGAATAAATGAGTATCTCTCTCAAATTATGATGTATATACTTGAATTTCTTTTCAAAGGGTAACCCGTGCAGTTCTCTACGAACTTTATGGACAGAGCTCCAACGAATTAACTACTGAATTATATCCGATAAACACTACAATGATTCCAAATGACCCGCTTTTAAAGCACTTTTTTACA